CGGATGAGATTTGACCGAGTTATGGGGGTGGTAATTTTTGACCCATGTCTATGTACGAATCTTGGGGTAAGATTTGGACATGCATTTCGACTAAAAAATCGGTATCGAGATTTAAATGCCACATTAATCTAGAGGGAAAACCATGAAGAAAAAACCAAACTTCGTGAAAATCGGATGAAATTTGACCGAGTTATGGGGGTGGTAATTTTTGACCCATGTCTATGTACGAATCTTGGGGTAAGATTTAGACATGCATTTCGACTAAAAAATCGGTATCGAGATTTAAATGCCACATTAATCTAGAGGGAAAACCATGAAGAAAAAACCAAACTTCGTGAAAATCGGATGAAATTTGACCGAGTTATGGGGGTGGTAAATTTTGACCCATGTCTATATACGAATCTTGGGGTAAGATTTGGACATGCATTTCGACTAAAAAATCGCTGTTCAGATTTGAATTCCAGATTAATCTAGAGGGAAAACCATGAAGAAAACGCCAAACTTCGTGAAAATCGGATGAGATTTGGCCGAGATATGGGGGTGGTAAATTTTGACCCATGTCTATATACGAATCTTGGGGTAAGATTTGGACATGAATTTCGTCCAAAAAATCGGTGTCGAGATTTGAATTCCAGATTAATCTAGAGGGAAAACCATGAAGAAAACTCCAAACTTCGTGGAAATCGGATGAGATTGGACGGAGTTATGGGGGTGGTAAATTTTGACCCATGTCTATATACGAATCTTGGGGTAAGATTTGGACATGCATTTCGACTAAAAAATCGATGTTCAGATTTGAATGCCGGATTAATCTAGAGGGAAAACCATGAAGAAAAATCCTATATCATATATATATTCTATTATACTTAGAAGCTATATGTAAAGTTTGGTGACTCTAGCTCTTATTATTTACCAAAATTGCCCAAAAAACAGGATATCGATATCGATTCTTATCGATTGCTTGGAAACGGAGTCAGTTCTCGACTATCGGAAACAAACTCGATCTGCGCGGGAGCTAGGAGCATCTACATCTAAAATTTCATAGGTTCTGAGATCCTTGCGTTCATACATACGGACGGACGGACGGACAGACAGACGGACATGGCTAGATCGGCTCAGCTATTTATGCTGATCAAGAATATATATACTTTATGCGGTCGGAGTTGCTTCCTTCTGCCTGTTACATACCTTTGGATTTTGCACAAATACAATTTACCCTTTTTACCCATTTTTAATGGGTTTAGGGTATAAAAATTAAATAAAAGGGAGAGTAAGAATGTCTTCGGCAGACATTGGTAGACATTTCACTCTAGCAAATATGTGAAAAGAGTGAAGCTCGTAAATGCAGAGTTGAATGCAAAGATATTAAAAAAAAAAAAAACAGAATGCCATAGAAGGACCCACTTTTCGAACGATTTTTCAAGGCAGCTATAATGCTTATATGTAGGGAGCATAGCAAAACTTATAAATGCCGAGATCAAGATCAAGATACCTTGAAAAATATGTACTGCCTAGAAATTTGGCAAAAACTCATTATAACTACGCTCAATCTACAAACTCTGGGCTCATGCAAGTAGAAATCGATGCCCAAAAACAAAAATTCAAGGAATTGCATTTTTGTTAGCAATTTGTGCTTGCATTCATGACAAATACTAATTAGAAATGTACATACATTTAAAATTATAATCGTTATAAATGTGCTTAATTATATATGGATAGATAAATAGCTACTTCCAGCACTCACAGATGATTTTACTTGGAATTCTAATGCTCTTCGGGCTTAATATGCTCAGATGTGTGGACTATATGTGTGCGGATATTCATTTAAGTTTATATGTATCTTTGTGCTCTAAAGACGGGCATTTCATTTTGCTGTGTTGGACTTTTGAAACTTAGTAAATCATTTTCTAGTTATTTACCAAAAGTCTATTTGAGTTGCAGTTTGCAATTCGGACCTGTCAAACTTGCGGCTGCCTCTGAAATACACACACACACACACACACATATGTATTTTATTTATCTTTCTGCAAGTTTTAATTATATTTTCTGTGCATATAACACATACGTCCCGTTGTGCAAGGCACAATTTATGCCAATTTGTACAATTTATTGCAATTTATGCATTTTGCTAAACCATTTCTTTTCGCAAATTCAATTAAATTTATGTTACGGCCATTCATCAACGAGTCAGTTGGGTATCTTAATAAAAAGGTATGCATATTAAACAACTATCAAATGCCAAAACTCTTAATTCATTTGCTTTTGCTTTATTATTTTAGTTTATTTTTACGAGCTAGTGCACAATCGGTTGAATCAAGTTAGTTCAAAAGTCATTTGCAATTACGCAAACTTTTAAATATTTTCAAAAGCCCACAAATAATTCTCGTTTGGCCACAAACGAAGCATTGGGACCGCCTGTTGGTTCGGCCCAACTCCGTTTGCGTTTTCAATACCCTGTATACAATGAAACTACTTAGTTAAAAAGGATATAAATGGCAATGAACACATATGTGTAACAGATAAAAGAAGGCATCTCCGACCGCAAAAGTATATATTAATAAAAATCAAGAAGTACATCAAACGCAGAAAAACTAAATTTTTAACTTTCGGTAACTTTTACATTTTTACGGAATAATTATCGATTTTTAGCCCTCGCTTCTCAAGCATTTCTCAGAGATTATTGTGGCTAGATATACAAGACTTGGTATATTTTTCTCATATAGTACATATACAGTTTTAATAACTCCCTCGCTACCCTCATCTATTTTTGTGCATAAAGAATATTAAATACCATATAAATCTGACCATAAACAGTGAAGTTATTTAGCTCAAGTCAAGGGCTGAACACATATTGTTTGTGACATATTGTTATATGAACCCAACTCGTAGTTGGCCACAGGGTATCCTGTAGTCTGTCATTCTCGAGTAGAGTACATTTACTTGTGTTTTTTTACAATTTGTTGCTACTTCTTCATTTTTGTTACGGCTGTTACGAAAAAAAAAGTTCTAACAAATATTTTCGGCATCGGTTTTGCCGCATTCCATTGCGAAACTGCGGGAGCCTCGACGCGTCGCCTGTCAGTTGCCGACAGGAAATTTTTGTGATTTATATCACAATTTACTCGCATTTGTTACTGGCGTTCAGTGGGCCCCATCCCATTGGATACCTGCGTGCTCTTGTTATTGAATTAGATGCGGTGGAGGACCTACCTTACCTTAGTGCGAGTCCTAGTCCCAGTCTGTCGATGATAAATCAACGGGCTAACAAATTCTTAGCCTGCTTTTGCTTTGTTCTTACGAAACAACAACAACAACAACAACAACAACAACAAAATGGCACACGTGTCTTTGGGTTAACACAACTTAAGCCTTTTGTTTTTTGGAATGGTACGTTGGTTTCAGTTCTTTTTTTTCAAGAACCACTCGGTTTCATAAATTGCCATCTCTTTTGTTTCAAGCGTTTCGCTTGAGTTATTTTTAATTTCATGGGTGCAATTTCTCAGTGTCAGTTGTTTGAGAGCCTGTCACTGGCAGCAAAAGGGAAGAGTACCAAACAGAGAGAAAGAGAGAGAGAGAGAGAGAGAGAGAGAGTAATGATAGCTGGAGGTCGGAGAATATGGCACTCATTAGCTGCCCATTTTCCTTTGTTTTATTCATAAATATTTCATTACAAAGCCTGCCCAAAAATCATGCCAAATGCTTGCTGCTTGCGTTAAATTGAATTAGAGCCGCGTCCGTAATTAAGTAAGCCTCTTGTCATACCCTTTCCCAGTTTAAATGGCATTGCATTAGGGATTTTTAAATGCTCCCATAAGCACTTTAAAACTATGATTGACTGACTGACTGATTGATGATAAATGACATGAGATAATAGAAGTTATCTTTTATGATGAAAGTGAACACCCGAAAGTTTGGAAACTTAATTGGAAGTCCAATGAAATATATCGTGAAAATTCATTGGAGATGTCTTCTTAAAATGTGCGAAATTTATCAAGTACTATGTCCGGGCAAATCTGAGTTTTTATATATATTACAGAGCTGTTGAATCCAGACAACATAATAGATAGAAACATTTTTTTATATACCCCTACGAATTTAAGGCTTAAGAAACATCAATCATCGCAACGACAAATACAAATTTAAGTTTTCCCCGACCACTTCAATAAGAGAAACAAAAATTTGAAATAAAATTTTGCGCTGTTTATAGCAAGTCGCAAATTTTTGGAATCTTGTGTGGGCACAACAAGATTTATGGCCAGGTTAGCGGGCTCGGAAGACATTTGAGCGCTGCAATTTACGGCTAAAAAACAACAAACGAAAGCCAAACAAATGTAGTTTCTCGGTCGCATTTGGCTGACTGATTGTTTAAATGAGACGGCGTGCACTCAAACAAAAAACAACAACAAAGAAAATGTTTATTGATTTTATAGATGTGCACTTTGGGAGCTTATGTCCTTTTTGTGCCGCCGCCCATTGACATGCGTTTGATTGATTGGCCCACACTGGCCAAGGAGCAAGGACCGAGCACCGAGATGCTTGGTCTGGGACAGCAGCACTTACATAACTAACAAAACTTTAGGGTATCTGGAGAACAGTTTAGTTCGGTTTATTGCCCGCATGTTTTGCACATTTTATGTGGCCCAAATGGATTTCACGTAGATAAATTGCTTGTAATTACCGCTGAAATGGCAAAAGAGGTACGTTCGAATAGTTTGGCAAATTTGATAGCATTCGCACTTGCAACAAGGTGGAAGGGACGGGGTTAAAAGCATACAGAGAAGTGAAATTTCAAAATAGCCAAAAATTGGAATATGAACTATCTGTGCGTGCAATATATGTGCTAAATGCCAAATGGACCTACGCTGAAAATCGATATTTATCGATTTCGTATCTAGCAATCTTGAAGTTCCTAGAGGTTATTGGCATACTTCTATTGATAACAGTTTGATAAAATTTTATTTGACTATTAGACTGACAGATATGCAATTTAAGTTAGTTAACTAATTATAGGATGGTGGATCATGCCAGTTGCAGAGACAGTGGGCAATCAGAAGGTAAATGGTGGCCGTCAACACCGTTGCCATCATTATGGGAAATCCGATGAGAAAGAAGCCTTTAAAGGTTATATGATAGCCATACTGATGGGCAATGCCGGCAGTTACAACGTTCGCGGAAGCGCCAATTAGTGTTCCATTGCCACCAAAACAAGCGCCAAATAAAAGGGACCAAACCAGAGGTGGAAATGATAGACCAAGATCGTGATTGTTCGCCAGTTTGATAACCAGCTTAAGCATCATGGTTGTTATGGGTATGTTGTCCACAAAGGCGGATGTCAAGGCGCTCACCCAAATGATCAGCAGAATGCTCACCGCCAGCTGATGACTCTTGCCAACACTCATAATAATGCCGACAGTCAGTTCTCCCACCCAATCGATCACGCCCATCTCAACAATTGACTCCATTAGCACAAAGAGTGCGGCAAAGAAGATCAGAGTGCCCCACTCGACACCCTCCAGCACAGCATCAATGTCCGGCTTATTGGCCAGGATCAGCAGCAGTATCGCCGCCAACATCGCAACCCAGCACAGTGTGGCACCTGCGAATACTGGCAGAGATTGCATAAAGAACATCAGAATGGCAAAGGTGAACGCAATGGTGCACTTGATTAGTAGCGGCTTGTTCTTAATTTTGCAATTTGCCTTCATATCCGATAGTGTTTTCTGAAAGTCGACTTTCTCTGAGTTATCCTGATTTTTTAATCGCTCCAGCAGCGCTTCAATGCGCTTCGTCACATTTTGGGACATTTGGGTATCGGCGTTACCCAACCTACTTGCCTGTTTCTGAAGCTTATCTAAAGATGTGCGCATCTCAGATGGTAAATTACTGGTAAAGAGCTTTTTGCGTACCATAAAATACAGAAGAAGGAAACCAAGCATCATGGACAGAATGACACCGGGAAACATATGCAGTATAAAATTACCAAAATCCATGCCATGTGTCTGCGCATACGGATCGGTGGCAACAACCACATTGGGTGGATCCCCGACTGGGGTCAGTGTGCCACCAATATTGGCGAAGATCGCAATGCTAATTAGCACCACAGTGGTGCTCAATGCCAACGATTCACATAGACGTATCGTAACTGGCACCATTAACAATACCATCGTCACATTGTCCAGAAATGCCGAAAGAAAGCCTGTGAACATGCACAAATAGAACAGGAGCATCCAAACGTTACCCTTTGACATCTGATACGCATAGACGGACAGAAAATCAAAAACGCCTGTCTCGGCGAGCATGGAAACCATTATCATCATGGCAAAGAGTAGCATTAGGGTCTCCATATCGATCCACGAGACTATCGTACTCAGTTCCGGCTTAGCATCCAGCATGCTGAGCACTCCAATGGCAGCTGTTGCCACCAGGAGGGCGGCCAGTGTCCGATCCGTAATATCCCAAATGATGAGCACATAGAGGAAAATCAATAGCAATATCCCGCACACTACGCCCACATTTGCGTTCATCGGATTCGCGTTAATGGTCAGATATAATGCCATTGGGTCCTTATGAAGATTCAATAGCGATACCTGCAGATTGCTGAAATCGCTTCTCATCTGCGCGCTGCGTCCAAATAAATTGAATTGCCTGATACTGGAGCACCCCTCCAAGGTGAAATACTTCTTAACTTTGCCGACATTCGTGCTGGCGGGATCGAACAAATAGACTTGCCACTCATCTGATTTCCAAGCGGACTTGTTTGCCGATTGATCAAACCTCTCCACTGTCACAATGATGCGGGGCTGGGTTTCGGTTGCGATTTTTGGATTATTTGTGCAAGCCTCATCGACGGGACCTGATAATGTTATGGTGATTTGATCGCCTTTCGGTTTTTCTCGTAGCCTTGACAGATGCGCCTTTTGTGACTGTAGGGGCACAATCAAATCATGTGGCTCGTGCGGTGTTGTCTTGATCAGGAATATTGTAAAGTATAGCCAGAGGATTACAAATACTGTTATCTTGACAAACGTGCCCACACGCCTTAGAATGTTACGCCGACGAAGCTGCTCATCGTTGAGCTCTGTGTAATCATCTGTGTAGGAGCGGCGGCCCGCCGTAACATGGCCCAAAGCAGCCATACGAAGCAAATATTAAGCTAAGAGAATATAAAAAATAAACTAAATATATCAGGCACCCAACCCAACCCAACTGGACCCCCACAGCCGCCTTTGGTTGGATTTTTTACAGATATTTTTTAAGGATTTCCGAAAAAAAGGATAAATTCAACAACGACGAAAAAAAACCATTTTAAATTTTAATAGGAAGACCTTTTTACACCCTCGAAGACATTTAGCATACATCTTAATTTTGACAGGTTTTGAAAGTATGCTAAAAGCATAGTAAGGCTGATATTTTAAAGAAAATATGTATGACTGAAATTTCTATGCTATGATAAAGTGATCATCTGCATAGTTTTGTCAAGATATCTGCAGAAATAAGAGACAAGTCATATTGATACAAACAAAAAAGAACATGGCCAGAGAGCCTGGGGTATTAATACTGTTTAGCGTCGAACCAGCAACCAACACGTCGCCGGATCAAATTAATGGTTGTCAACAATAATAAGAAATACGAAGACCTACCTAACATTAAGTAAGAACTCGGCAACACTTGCATTTTTGGCACTATTCATTTGAACCGGGCAATGCCGAGTAATATTTTCCAATACCCTTGTGTGTATAAAAATTTATTTGCTAATATTATCATTATTTGTCTATTAATGCTGTTATTTTTTATTATAACAATTATAATAAAAATAATAATATAATAATTAAATTATTATTATTATTATTATTATTATTATTATTATTATTATTATTATTATTATTATTATTATTATTATCATTATTATTATTATTATTATTACTATTATTAATAATAATAATTATTATTATTAATTATAATAATAATAATTATTATTAATTATAATAATAGTAATAATAATAATAATAATTATTAATAATTAATTAATAATTATTATTATTACTATTATTATTATTATAATTATTATTATTATTCCTAGTTTGCTAAAATTCAGCATTCGATTTGTTCGACGCTTTTCCCCCATTTGCTCTTTTCTTCATGACTATTCATTCTTCGGGAAGCAGACTTTTCAGCTGCTTCATGTGTCATGCACAGCGAATTTTGTATGACAGACTTAGACATGACATCAACTAGGGCATAGCTCCTCATGACCAGTGCCCATGTCAAAGTTATTCCAGCCACAAGTCGATTGGCCCTTGATGCCACTGCACTGGACAGGAGACAGGCAGTGGAAACCTGGGCCAACCGACACGTGTCGGACGCAAATGTTGTCTGTCACAGACGGGGAGGATGGGGCGTCGGATGCTGCAGTCTTCTTGATGGAATTGGTGTTCAATTGCTGCACAGTTCCGCATATTTAAGTCATTTAACGCACTGCTGCTCCAGCAACATTTCTTGCCATTGGTAAACATCCAATTATTATTTATCAGCGAGTTTTTCGGGGCAGTTCCGTTTTCATCTTTAGACTTTTTCTCTTTGCTCTGCCACGCTTGCAACTTTCTGCGGCAATTTGATTTTGTCATTAAAAAGTTTTCAGCGATATAATAAAGTTTGTCAGCTGAGAGCCAAACCAAAAATGGGGCATCGAAAGTTTTCGCCAGCCAGCCAGACAACGGAGCAGTGCGAGCAGCTCGTCATCTTTTCATTATATAATTCTTTTGAATGAAGGTTTCGCTCATCTTCAGTTCAGTGCCATTGGAAAAGTCCATGTGCGATGATCAGATAAAGTGAAGATATAATATCAGTTAGAATCATAACAGGAAAGCCATATTTAAAGAACTCCAAAAATGTAATTTTATAGCCATACTGATTGGCAATGCCAGCTGCCACCACGTTGGAGGAGGCGGCAATCAGTGTGCCATTTCCGCCATAGCATACCCCATACGAGAGCGCCCATACCAAGGGTAGCAAGGGCACTTTCAGGTCGGCGTTGAGGGACAGCTTTATCACCAGCTTGAGCATCATGGTGACAATGGGTATATTATCAACAAAGGCTGAGAATATGGCGCTGATCCATAGCACAAGTATAATGGCCGTTATAAGACGATGCTTCTCATCGACGCCCACAATAATCGCAATCGTGCGATCGCCCACCCAGTCGATGAGGCCCAGCTCCGCGCATGCCTCGATGAAGACAAATAGTGAGGCAAAAAACAGCAGAGTCGACCACTCGACGCTCTCCAGAACAGAATGAATATTTCGCTTATTGGCCAAAATGAGTAGCAGCAGCGCCGCCAAGAAAGCGGTCCAGGACAGCGTTGCGCCGGCCAGAAATGGCAGCGAGTGCAGCATGAAGAGTAGCACGGCAAAGGCCAGGGCAATGCAGCATTTAATGAGCAGCGGCTTATCTTCCACTTTATATCGGGCCTGCATCTCGGCCAGTGTCTCAATAAAGTTCGTTGTCGGCTGTGGACCAAACTGTGGGGCAGTCGCTTTGCGTCTATAACGTTCCTTTAGCTCTTCGATGCGTTCGAGTATCTCGCGACGCAGCTCCGCCTCGCTGGGTGTCTCCCGCAATACGGCCGCAGTTTTAGCCAGATTATTAATGGATTCGCGCATTTGATCGGCGCCGCCTTGTTGTAATCCTTTGCGCAACACAAAATATATGTAAGCCCAAGCAGCGGCCAGGCTTAAAACCACGCCCGGCAGCATGTGCATAACGAAGTCGCAAAAGTTAGTGCCAGCGTCAAGAACATACCGATTCGATGCAATTATCACATTCGGCGGATCTCCAACGGGCGTGAGAGCGCCGCCGATATTCGAGAATATGGCCACAATGATGAGCACAGTTGTGGTACGCAGATCCATGCATTCGCACAAACGTATCACAATGGGCACCATTAGCATCAGAATGGTGACATTATCCAGAATGGCGGACAGTAAAACGGTCAGCATGCAGAGCAGGAACAACAGCAGCCAGGGCTGGCCCTTCGATAGACGATAGGCCAACACAGATATATAGCCAAATATGCCGGTCTCCGCAATAACTGACACCAAAATCATCATGCCAAACAGCAGCATCATTGTGTCCGTATCTATCCACGAAATGACCACTTCAATTGTGGGTCGTTCACCCAATACGCAAAGTACTCCGATGGCGGTCGTTGCCACAAACAGTGCGGCAAATGTACGATCCATAATATCCCAAATGATGAGCACATAGAGGAAGATAAGTAGCCCAGCGGCTGATAAGATGCCAACATTCTTGTTCAGCGGTTCGGTGTCGACGGTCAAAGCGACTGCAGTTGGATCAGTGTTCTGATTCGAAAGTATCACCTGTAGTTGGACATCGGAAGCAGCACGCATCTCTACTACACGCATCTGTACTCCACGCACCTTGAAGTTCAGCATTTTGCTTTGCTTGTGCTCAAGTTCAAAGTACCTTTTTACCGATTCCATGGGCTTTGTGGGGCTATCGTACAAATAGACTTTCCATTCCTTTGAGTTCCATTCAGTTGTGTTCGACTTCGTATTAAAGGTTCGTACACTAACTAATATATATTTTTGTGATTCTAGTGCCACTTTGGGATTATTTGTGATATCCGCATCGATGTTGCCTTTCACATAAACGCATATCTCATTACCTTCCGGTTCCTTATCGACCACCATAATATACGGTTTTTCGGACTCTAAGGGTATCAGTTTACTGATATGTTCATTAGGAGGCGTGAGTAACATAGATACTGCAAAGAACAACCAAATTCCAATAAATGTCGCTAGCTTAAGAACTAGGTACACATAATGTAGAAATTTACGACGACGCTGTTGCTCTGGAGTTAGATTGCTTTCATCTTCGTTATGCAGATAGAATGAGCGCCGTGCCTTGGTTGCATGGGGATTATGGGAAGTCATTTGAATTGAATGCCTTATTACCGCCAATCTCAATGATCGGACCAGTAATTTATGATGCTACCTGGCGCCCAGCCTACCCCGCCATTGAATGCCTAACGGTATTCGTTCACGTGTGGTTCTTAAATAGCTGCGTTTCGTGTTCCCATATATATTCAAAAAAACAATTGTGTATTTTTTCATAATGTGTGTACGTCAAGTTTTTAAACCGAAATGGCTTGAATTAATTTTAAAATATACATATAATTGAATTAGTTGCTCGAATAGAACCTTTAATCAATTTTTAAAAAAATGCATCCGAACCTTAACCTAAAAAAGGCACATACACTAAACCTCAAGGCAGGACGCTGGTTCGAACTTGCAAGATTTTTGGATTACATGTTTATTCGATTTTATAGATTTAATTTTGTTAACTAAAACCTTAATCAGCTTTACGAACTGCAGTAATTCGAACCTTGACCGAGTATTCGATTTCCTAGATTCTGGTTATCCAAACTAATATTGCCCCGCCGTTAAGTCTTTGGTATAATTGAATGTATGGTTTTTCTATCCGTCTTTCTGTCAACGCACGTAACTTAATTACATGTAGCTGGCGTTGGTTTATAATTGAATCATCGTGCGATAAGGACGAAACACAGTATGAGTTGTGTTTCTATATACACGTACACATTCATATGTGTATGTTGCACCGCCAGGCATCCGCTGGCTCCGTTATGAATTACATTTCAATGTGCTTCAACGTGTTCATCATTTATTAAAATGGCTGTGCTCATGTTGAATGCTGAAATGCCAATAAAGTGAGCAGCAGGAGCAGGTCCTTGGCGAATTCCCCGCCTGCTGCTACTGCTGCCGCTGCTGCTGCACAGGAAGCTCAAATGCTGTTGAGAGCATTGCGCAGCGTCGATTGCAATTTCCGTTTGTCACATTTGCCTAAATGGAAATTTATGCAGCTGGCTCGCTTTTGATTCCCAGCCAGAGCTGTCAGGTTAGCTGCCCGTTGTTCATCTTCCTGACTGTCTGGGTAGTTAATGCTTTATTCACGCTCGAATGCCTAATGAAAGAGTCATTACACTCATTCATTCGTTCATTCATTCGCGTTGTTCATTGATTCATTCATGAGAACACGTGCATGGATTTTTTCTCCTTGCCTTTAGACTTGCTTAATTAATTGATTTTCGCTGAGGCAAATGCCAACTCTGGATGCATTAATCATACGCCCTGTTAGCCCACACCGCAGCACAATTGAATACATGCTGTCCTCTCAGCTGTTATCAACCGCCTGTTAACTCTATTCGAAGGTTTGATTTTTCACTCGACTTGACTCTCTACAGTCCGGTTGTAAGAGAAAGAAAGAAAGTACACAAAAGACACAGGTTAAGAGAAGGCGACAGTAAGAGAGAGAGAGAGAGAGAGAGAGAGAGAGAAAAAAAGTGTAACGTAAATGTCAAAAAGAAAGAGATGGCGCTTACAGAAAGATAGAGGTAGAGAGAGTGCTAGAGAGAGAGAGAAACAGAGAGAGAGAGAGAGAGAGAGAGAAAGAGAGATATATATATATAGAGAGAGAGAGAGAGATAGAGAGAGCGAGAGAGAGAGAGAGAGTAAGGGAGAAAAATGCCGAAAAAAATGAGAGTGCGGGAGCCTTAAATAAAGAGAGAGAGACTGAGCAACAGAGAGACAGAAGAGACCGAGAGCATTAAATAAATTGAAAGAGATATATGACCAATAGAGAGAGAAAATTAATTAATATGAGAAGGTAGTGGCAAGTTAAAGCAGAAAATCAAAAGAATGTAAAAAAAGTTAGAGATTATAAGAAACACAAGGAATTGAGCGACAGAGAGAGCATTAGACACAAAGAGAAAATGTGAGAAAGCTCAGGTTCGTTCAAAAAGTGTGTGACGGATGGATTGGGAGTGGAAAATAGAAAGAGAGAGTAGATATTGTCAAAAGGGTTACAAAAGATAAAATATGTAAAGGAGAAATGGAGCAGTAATGATAGATAGAAAGAGCCTTAGAGAGAGCAATCGAGAGGGAGCGAAAGAGAGTAAATCAGAAAAAGAGAGTTGAGAGCGAGTATATAAAAGGGAGAAAAGAAAATCCAGCTTAAGATATTGAACGACAACTGACGAACATTAACGTTTCATATGTGTCATACTTATAATTCAATAATAACGGCTACCTTCCTCCTCGATTCTCAAAAATTCATGTAGGGCCTACTCATTTTAATGTAATTTCACATGTTTTTTTTTGGTAATGTGTTTAAAATTGGCTTTCAACTGAAAGTGTAATGTGAATAATAAATGTTTAAGTATCCATTCAAGCTTAATGGCTGCCCTCCACCTCGATTGTCAAAAATGTAAGTAGAACCTACCCATTTCTATGCAATTTCAGGGATTCTTTTTGTGATGTGTTTAAAGGTGACTTTCAACAAAAAGTTTAATGTGAATTATAAATATTTAAGAAACTATAATATTTAAGCTTAATGGCTGCGAAGGTTTTTGGTAATGTGTTTAAAAATAGCATTCAACTGAAAGTATAATGTGAATTATTAATGTCCAAGAAACTTTTTAAGCTAACCGACCGTCCTCCTCTGTGATTCTCAAATATTCAAGTGGGGTCTACTCAACTTGATGTAATTTTAGTGCGTTTTGTAGTTTACATACATAATGTAATTAATGTCGTCACACTTATGAGATGGCCGATATACATGTAAACTATAATTTATTTAGGATATGAAAACATATTTCTTCGCTTCTTGGCAACAAGCAGATTTTGCATATATATATGCCTGATTTATGTACGTGCCGCCGAGCAACATGCAATATTTGTGTATATGGCCATTTATAATAGATTCTATTAAGTATACCATACTACGCATATACATAATTTATATAATGTCAAGTTGCGCTTATTGAATATGCTGAATACAATGTAGAGGCTGCTGCCAACAGGACTTTGCGTGAATCAATTAACGTAGCTTTTTGGCCATGGCTTTGGCTCTGACATTTGCAGCTTAGTGGTTTGCCATTTCTGGCCAGAAACGGCAGTCTTTGACATCTTGACAGTTTTATTGTTGGCCATTTACTGCCACTTATTGTTTTACCAAAGCCCGACCTCTGTGTCGGTTATCTGCTCTGTAGATAAAGCTTAATAGGGCATTAAATAAATAAATAATTTTTTTCAATGATTAGTACGCTATACAAATTGCAATAAATTGGCAGCAACAATAAATTAAAATAAGATATTGTACCATTATGGGGAATATATAAAATAATTAAAATTTATACAAAAACAAGGAAGATTACTTGTCATTAGAGTACCAACGATTTAATACCCTTACATTTTCTAAAAAAAATAACCGCACGTTTATTCCTGTTAAGTTTCTTAACTTTCCTTAAGATTTATCGAAAAACAAATCAAAACACATTTCAGATAAATTCTCAGTTTGAGATTGTTTAAAGGGCAGCTGCTTTATAGAGACCAACAATAATGTTGCCAGACTTTGCTGCAAAACAGATCTAGGGCCAAACCATGAAGAGCCAAACATCATAGAAATCTGACGAGATTTGACCACGTTATGAGCGTGGGAAATTTTGTATGTTTTTAATTATGTATGTTTGTATATGTGTGTGTGTGTGATTGTATGTATGTGCGTATATATGCATGTATGTATGCATGTGAATAGTCTTCTATAGCAAAGTAGCAGACCAATTTGTCTTGTTGCGCGGCAAATTGAAATAAGAAAATATATTTATTAAAGCTGCCCTCCTCCTCGATTCTCAAAAATTTAAGTAAGGCTTGCAGGCTTCACCTATAAATTAGGCGCAGGCGGCTTCAACGCTGGCATCTGAGGAGCAGGAGGAGCACCAAGGGGGCGGAGCAGGAGGCGTTGGTATGTAGGTATGTAGGTATGTAGGTATGTAGGTATGTAGGTATGTAGGTATGTAGGTATGTAGGTAGGTAGGTAGGTATGTATGTATGTATGTATGTATGTATGTATGTATGTATGTATGTATGTATGTATGTATGTATGTATGTATGTATGTATGTATGTATGTATGTATGTATGTATGTATGTATGTATGTATGTATGTATGTATGTATGTATGTATGTATGTATGTATGTATGTATGTATGTGTGTATGTATGTATGTATGTATGTATGTATGTATGTATGTATGTATGTATGCATGTCTGTAAGTACATATGTATGTATGTTTTGACTACGAATAATGCTGCCAGGCCTTGCCAGTCACACGTTTAAAATAATTTTAAATTTTGAAAATGAGTTTAATGCCGATCGGATGGTAAACAAAAAAGTTTCATCCAAACGTTTTTCGCAATATTTCCACACATGCGGGTGGAATTCCTTGAAACCCCGTTTTCATCGCATAAGGTAACTACAGTGATAATTTCATCTTCCCAGCCCTTACTGTATGGGCTGTGTTTTGATAACCAATCAGTCAGTCAGTAAATCAGGAGAAACAATTTTATGTATAGGTATAAACGATTTACTGAAATCAAGGTAAAATTTAAGAATAAAATTCATTCAATTTGCACTATAGCGCATAATTGCAGGGCTTATAGGTGTTAGAACCAGCAAATGCTAATTCTAAGTTATATAAAAGTTACAAAATTCACGAATCAAAGATCTTAGTTCATACAGAGAATCGAATGGCAAGCAAGTTTTATTATGTTTGGAGCCCTGGTAAATATATTAACATATAGTAATAACACAAACACACTTACTTGTTGTTACGCCTTTGTTCTTTATATCCTTCCTAATTTCGCTTTTACACTCTCTCTCGCTCTCTCCCGCTTTCCGTATGTGAATGCAGCTAAAATGCGCGCCAATTTGTTGTTGGTGGGAAAGCTCTGCACCAAAAATTACATGCATATTAACTTTTACCAAATGCACGGAAAATGGTTAAATTACTGATTTAAACACATTAACAAACAAAACAAAAGAAAGCACACACAAACGAACAAACTAGAGGCGATTAACAGCCGCTAGCTAATTATGATTCGCAAAAAATAAAACAATTTTATACACACTCGCGAGAATTCGTCTGATCCACAAGCCAGAAGCGCACAAACTAAATTTGCATACACATACATAGAGCGCGCCTACGCTAAGCCAGGCACTTTGCACTAATACAATAACAAAGCTGCGCTCACACAATACTCGCTTCGATAAAAACCCCTCCCATGCAGCAACAATAGCTCTTACGGTTTGGGCTGGGCGTCAGCCAGTCAGAGATATCGAGATATATCGAATACATTATTCGTATGTCGTATGTCCCCCGAAAATGTTTGATTATATAAAAATTTAAAAAATTAAATTCTTTCGGTTTAGGATTATTAGAATAAATCTAATATTTATTAAATTACTTTTGCATTGAGTATAAAAACATAATGCTAAATAAATGTAAGGTACATGATAAATGCATATGATATAAATATCTCTATGACTAATTCTAAATGCAAAACTATTTTGTAATTTGGAGCTCGTGACGTTTATTGAACCATCGCTCGGCCAGAATAACCTGTGTTGAACCCGGAGGTGAACTGATGTGTTCTTTGTTTTTTGTCGGTTTGCACGCGTAATGCTATCATACAGCTCTGTGGAGGGATGTGAGAGGAGGGGGAATTATTATAAAGTTATCTAACAACTATGCCATTTCTAATTGCACTTACAATCGAGCAGCAGAACGTAATCATGAATACAAAAAACGAGCTAATGAGCAGGGCGCCACGGCACTGTTGCGTCAGATCGATTAGGAAGCCCACCTTTTTATCAACCTGGCCCGGCATTATAACGGTGTACTCGATGTTCTCTTTAAATCGCTTGAACTCCGAGACAGAAGAAGTGTTATTCCCACTGGCTGCAGGTCGTTGCATCATTGGAGTTGTGCTTGTAGATTCTATTTGTCGCCTCCTCCGACCATGGCCCGAGGGCTCATACAAATCCACACAGAAGTCAGGTGTACAATCAGACATGTCTATGCAGGCCTTGATCTGGGAGTGTATCCACAGTGTGGCCTTCTCCTTCATTGAGCTGAGCAGAAATGCCTCGAAGTCGAGGAAAACCTCATTGGGCCTGTCCCGATACTTGGCCGGCTGATGTGGTATTATGGTAGCCAATTCCCGATTACGACAGCCATTGTGTACCAAAGACACAGCGCCAGTTGCCAGTGGATTTTCTAAGCAATAAAGTAATATTGTGCATTATAATACTTATGTCACTTAGGGCTCATGTTTTCAGCATTTACCTGGATCTGGCGAGACAGTTACCTCCATCAACTTGACATACTTCCAAACGGACTGGCTGATGCGTGCGCGCAATTGCAGCTTGGTGCCCAGAGGAACCGCCTGGTCCACTGTCTGATCATTGTCGGCCAGAAGTGGAGATGGATCATTCGATGAGCTAACTGGATTATTGGTGCCGCTGACACGTGCTATGGGTGGCGCCTCCTTGTAAAGTGCCACCTCGTATTCCAATCTGTTCGGCATCTCCTCAACTATGCCCGAGACACGAGCACCATGAGGACTGGAAAGAAATATAATTTTAGTCGTGTTATAACTTGAACCTACATAATTACACTGACAATGAACCAGCGAATCCCGCAGCCTTATTTTCTATAACTGTTGGCTCCGGGGGCTTGCACATGATGATTAACTCCTGATCCGACTGCATTACCACGCCGGGGAATTGTGGGAACCAAATGCGCACATGAACAAATCCCTAAGCAATGGTAAATAAATTCAATATTCTTTTTATAAAGACAACTACATACATTTCTCTTAAGTACGCCACAGCGCGTGAAATCGTTTATTCTCAGATTATATGTCCGTTCATCCATGTCGCTGATGTCCTTCGAGATTAAGCAATGTGGATTTAGATCCTTGAGTCCACTTCGATCATCTGCAAACATGGGCACGCCCTTAAAACCAACTGGTCTTTTGAGTGTTGCAGTGATAAGATCTTCGGCCTCTGACCCGGTCGTAGAAAATGTGCATTGAACATCGGCGACTGAGAAATTACGAATTAAATAGGTGCATTGATTTTATGTCGTATTTGTTCTTACCTTCATAATCTTGCGCAAAACAAAAACAGGGAAGAACCTATAGAGAAAAAAAAAAGTGTTGGAATGGTTATTCAAAAAAGTAAATTCGTTAATGTCGGCTGTAACTGACTGCGGAATACTCTGTTGACAGCTGAAAACGATGCTATGGCAGTGTCTTTTATTAGACCTTGGAAGGATTGGAAGCGAACGTGAATATATATGTATATATCCAACTTTTAAGGCGGTGTTTGAAAATCCACCTCGTAACTCTAAAAATGCGGGTTCTAATGATTTTGAGGTTTCTTCTCTAAGTTTTTAGCTTCAAATATTGCTTGCATTATATATACCCTCTTTTCACTTTGTAAACAGAGTATCAAATTAGATCAAAATACGTTATTGAGCACTGAATTATTTATGCACATTCGTATGTACTTACGAATAAAATATATACTTTAATGCAATGCATTCTTGATATATAGCTTATTTTCAAATATTATTGCATTTGTTAAAGTGTGCAGTACACGAAAACTTGACATAAACTAATATTCAAAGCCCGCTTCAAAGCACATCCAATCGGTCTGAAAGCAAATTGCAGAATGAAACTGGAGTATACGATGGGTAGATGCAATTACCTTGATCTTGGCTGCGTGAATTCTAGTTCAATACAATTGCAAAATTTACGTTGATATGCATGTGTGTAACTCCAGATGCAGCAGCAATAAAAAACTTAAAGTAAATGTGGCGCGCTTCTGCCAACCCCATATGTGAGTGTGCATATTGCACACAGTGCTGGCAAAAATATTAGCACCGCCTTAAAACATTATCACCGTTAAAGGCCTGCTAGAAAACGAATCACACATTAAAGCTCGTTACTCCTTCAATATATAATCATATTATTATAATATGTAAACGTGCACAAAATCTTTTATTTTTTCATCTTTAATTATTTAGCCGATGTCAATAATTGATCTTAACAGCTGTTAGCTGCTATCGTTGTGATATCGATAGTCGCTATCGATAGCGATAGTAGTGAAATTATTTGTATTGTTATAGGTCGCATCACATACGTATGTCATTTTGTTTCGTTTTTTTTTTCCTTCTGCTTACGAAAGACTTTCAACCTAGCAGACCGTATTGTTTGGAAATTGTTTGTTTAAGCTATGATTTTTACTGCCTAGGGAGCGACACATCTCGGCCTCATAAAAACAGCTGTTTTGCGGACATTTTGCGATTCAGTTTGATAAGAACAACCAACACCAGCGGGCATCATGTTGAAGAACGCCGGCAGTCGATTGTTTCGTGGTTTGCACGTAAGTCTAATGGGCTCCACAGCCCAGCTACAGCTGATATGTATATAATTTTGCTGGACTTGACATTTTAGGCGGCATGCAGCACACAGGCGCCCCATGTGAGGGGCATTAATTTAATACCCATGGTGGTAGAGCAAACGGGACGTGGAGAACGCGCCTATGATATATTCTCTCGCCTTTTGAAAGAGCGAATCATTTGCCTTATGGGCAACATCACGGACGACATCAGTTCCACGGTGGTTGCTCAGCTATTGTTCCTGCAGTCGGAAAACGTAAATAAGCCCATCCATTTGTATATCAATTCGCCCGGTGGCGTGGTAACGGCTGGCCTTGCTATCTATGATACGATGCAATATGTTAAGCCGCCAATAGCGACGTGGTGCGTTGGCCAAGCTTGCTCGATGGGCTCGCTACTGTTGGCAGCGGGAGCACCCGGCATGCGTTACTCGTTGCCGAATGCTCGTATTATGATACACCAACCATCGGGAGGTGCCCAGGGTCAGGCCACAGACATACTTATACACGCGGAGGAGATCATCAAGATAAAGCGTCAGCTTACCAATATATATGTTAAGCATGCAAAAAATAACTATGATGAGATGTGCGCACGTATGGAACGTGACCATTTCATGACCCCGGAAGAGGCCAAGACCCTAGGCATAATTGATCATGTGCTTGAGCATCCACCAGAAACAGTTGCAGACAATGGACCAACATCCGATGGCGGCCCAGCAACAGGCAAGCTCATCTCGTCTGATGCAACAGAAAAGAAGAGATCCAAACAGTCAAGCTAATTCATTGCATTTGTACGATTAGCAAATATATCTGGCTTTAAAATTATAAAATGTAAAATAGGAAGGATACACACAATTACCATAATTCAAATTTTTTAAATACAAATTCAGTTTTCATGAAAAACTTTATTTAAATGCTAATTAATTTCACACTGCGTCCATGCCAAACATATCTGCTGCCCTGTGCCATCGTGCATATATTCGGATTTGTTTGGATGTTTGGCATTTGAGCAGTATTACAAATCGATTTTATTGCTTAGTTAAAAAAACTAATGGCTGTATCAGATAGACGATACGTTTGTGTTCACACATTCTTATTACATTATTATTAATAAAATTAAAATTCATAGAACAGCGCTATTTAACACAACTTAAGTCTGGTCCATGGCAACATCTGAATTGCCGGTAATGGAATCCTTCTGCACATAATCATAAATTTTACACAGTTCCGGTGTTTCTTTAATTGACTTTAAAAAGTCTAGTAACTGCTGATTTTTATCTACAAGCAAAATATTTAAATTTTAATCATATATATATGAGTAAAACGTAAGCACATTTTATTAGAGACTCACTTGCTTTGGGTATTTGCGAGAGAGCAGATACGGCTCGCAGGGCAGAACGTTTAAGTTCGTCTTGTTTCTCGTACTCCTGCTTAACCGAATTGGCCTTTACCTTGTGGGTGCACGTGTCGCGTAGTTGTTGAACGAATTGATCCAGTCCTATTTATAGAAAATATATTAGAAAAATAATAATGGGCAAAATGGTATTTAATACATACGCAGTAAAACCTTATCGGGACACAATACAGCCAGACGTGCTGTCATTAGGTACGTCAGCATTTTAATGTCATAATGATCACATAGGCCAGCCTGAACGTGATCCATAAACTGCATAACGTCTACACGGTCTAGCCCCTGCTCAAGTAGTGTATACATGCATTCGAATGCCGCTTTTCGTATATCAAGTCCATCATCGACCGTGTGTTTAAATGGTCCCATTTCAACTTCACGTATAAGCTCACTTTTCACTTTTGTCTCGGAATATAGCCATGGTAAAAGTGTTGGCAGTAAGTCGCGCACCAAACTAGGTTTATTGTGCACAGCCGAATTAAATGCGACCAGAGCAACGCGACGCACCTGCGGCTCCGGATCACGCAGTGCGAATAAAAATTCACCGATGCTTTGCTTCAGCAGCAAATCAATGGGCTGCGGCTGATCGGAGATGGTAAATTTAACGGAGGACACAACAACGGTCCGCATCGTGGCGCTTTCAGAGCGCAGGGCTTGCTGCAATTGCGGCAACAGCTCTTCCGGATTGACGAGCACAAGTTTGCCCAGGCATTCCGCCACCACGTTGCGTGAACCTTCTTCCGAGCACTCGCAGTGCTTAAACAGTTGGGCCCATATCGAAGGCACCGATGGCAACAGCTGGGCCAGACCATTGGGCGTGACCGATAGCGATGAAATAACTTCCTTCAGTGAATGGAGCAGCAAATATTCTCGCTTGGGCTGTGCCTCAATTTCCTTCAAAATGAGCGGCAAATATGTCTGCAAACTGCCCACTGAGACAGCACCGAGGGCATGCGAGGCCGCTGCTTTCACATCCTCGGACGTGGCACCAAAGCATTCAATGATTGTCTGGGGAAGCACTTGAATAGAGCTTAGATCAAAATGCCTGCCTATTTCGCCAATGGTTAGCAAGCAGAAGATTATCTGCGTATCCTTTTTGCCACGATTCTGCAGCTCGGCCATCAGATGAGCGGCTAATTCGGTCGCCACCTGTGGACATTGCTGGGTCAAGGCCGCAATGCATTTGGCCGACGAATGATATGCCTGCTTGTGCAACTGCAGCTGTTCGTTTGGATTCCTTGCTGCCGGATCGCTGCCTTTCAAAACTGGCTCCATTAGCTTCGACACCAGAGAGTCATAGGTCAAACCAGGCAGTTGCGCCTGAACCAACGCCTGAAATAGGTCCAAGGTGCATTGCAAAGCGGTACCCTGAAAAAGAAATCACTTTTATCTAAATACAAATTAAAATCGAAATTCATTTTGGGCCCACCTGCAACAACGGCGACCGAACCAAAATTAACACAGATGGCAAAAACTTCTCATGTATGCCAACCAATGCCTGGGGCTGACGACGAGCTGTTGTACTTAGTAGGGTCAGCGAGTATTGAGCCACATGAAGATCGGAGTCAGAAATAAGTCCAGGTATTTCGATAATAGCCGACTGCAAGACACTCGGCTCAAAGTTCGAGGAATAGTTAATGACAATCTTATTGATGAGATCCAAAGAATGCAGCTTAAGAGCTCGATGATTTTTGCGCAAGAATGTGCCTAGAGTTGGCAGAACGTCATGCAATATGGGCGAGAGGTCGATACGTAAAGGTGATGCTGCAATCATGGTCAGTGCTTTAACGCTACTCAGGCGCGTGACTTCGTTTTTCAAGCGTTCCATAAAGATGGGCAGGCAAACGTCCAGTTCGCTCTTGAGCAGATCACCCATATTGGCAATGATTTGGCCCATGCACGCAATGGCGCGTTCCTTTACCTCCTGATCGACATCGGTGACCTTTAGTTTCTGCAAGGTGCACGCATAAACCTGCCCGACAAAGGGCGTCACATCGAAGTCTGATTTGACAGCATTAACGCCCAACGGACGCACCACTTTGACGAGTTGCTGCAGCACCAACAATGCCTCGGTGGCAATCTTGTAAAACGGATCAAACACCGATGTCACCACCAGCGGCACCAAAAGCGGTATATGCGGATGGAAAACATGTGGCTGATGACCCTGAAGCAATGAGCAAAGAAAGCCGAGTGACTCAATTTTCATGTTGCTCGTCGAACTCTTGTCGTTCAGCGAATAGCTTATGCCGGGCACAATGCTTTCCAAATGTGGGCCCAGGGCGCCTGGTAGAGAGTTCAGAAGTTCGCGTAGCAAAAGGAAACAGTCCTGACGCGTCTTCATCGATTTTTCACGCATCAGCGGCTGTATGGCTTTAATAATCTGCGGCAGCTGTTCGATTAGCAAAAGGGTTGGTCCAGATATTTGATCCATGGAGTCGGGATCGTGTGCAATATCATCCGCCGGACGTGTATTCTTCAGCAGTGCTACATATGCATGGAAAATGTCAGATTTAACATTCTCCTCGCGCTCCTTAAAGCGTGCTATTAATGCTGGACTCAGCGTACGATAGAATTCTTCAATTAACTCCTGACGAGTGGCAATTAACACCTCCAGGCATTTGGCAGCAGCACGTCGCACTTTCCAGCTCATATCATCATCATCACTATACTCTTCGCTGTCCACATATTCATCCTCCTCGGTGTCCATGGCAACGCCTGTATCGCCATCATCGGCCTCATAATTGTAGTTCGGATCGTAAGTTACGTACTTGAGGCATAGTTCGAGTATCTAATTAGTATAAAAATTTTTAGTTAAGGATTAAGATTAAGATTAGCAGTCATTTAAAACAAGTTGGTAGCCACCAATGTAACTAGTATGTTATAGCCATACATACCATAGGAATGTGTGGATGGATAGCGTCTGGGCAACGCAAAACAAATGCCTCGCAGGCCTGCAGGCAGAATTCGCGCAGCTCATCATCATCGCGCTGGCTATATTGTTTGAGCAGCAGCATTGAGCGATCAATGTGATTGCAGAGGCGATGTCCAGCTTGGCGACTAGTAAAACAGAAAATATAATTATTGAAGAAAATGTGCTAATATCTATGCATAAATCAAGTACCAGATGGAAGCTAAGCATTGAATATAGGTACGCACAGCACCAGGATTCTGCGGATTTTCGAGTCCCTCGAGTAGGTGGTCAACGACGCCATTGTAGGCATTGCTATTCGCCTGTATCAGAAGTACAGAGAGCGCTACAATCGTGCGCTTGCGTACAGCCTGGCGTGGCGATGCCAACTGCGGCATCAGAGCTTTCAATATGGTGCTATGGAAGGGCACCAGGAACTCGCCAAAGCGCGACAGCAGATCCGACAGTATGTCCAGTGATTCCAATTTAACCGAAACGTCCTCCTACAAGTAATCGTAAAATATCACTTTAAGATCGCTCGCTTTAAGTGTTTGGTTGTTTAGCTTGCACCTTTTCAATGGCAATGCTGAGTTTGCCAGTTATACGCTGGCAGACATTGGGCGCCAACGAATTGGAGGATTGGGGCAGCTCGGCAATTACGGTCTTGAGGCCGATGCTTGAGATGTCACGCAGCTGCTCGACATTGGACATCATGTTGCCACATAGCGAGTCCACAATTGTCTCCACTTGATTCTCCTTCACTTTATTGACCAACGGGCCCAAGCACTTCACAGCCAAATTCTGCACTTCACCGTTTTTGTCCTCAAGCAATTTAAGGACCATGCGAACCACCTTTTTTTCAGACTCATCGTCCAGTATAATGCTGTCCTTTTGCAGTTCAGTCATTAAATCATTTGTGGCCATGAATCGAAAGTCCTTGTCCGTGGATGTCATCTAAATAAAAATAAATAATTCAATTTATAAATGCACCTTACCTTACACTTTTGTGCCTATTCTATACATACTTTTTCCAGCAAATTTGCGATTTGATGATATTGATGCGACGCCATGATCTATATATTTGGTTCAACGGTATGTATATAAATATATATGAAATTATGTACACGGTAGCCGATTATAAATTTTTTGTGACCGCCTCACAAATTCTTTTTGTCTTAGACAAAAAAAAGGTCTACTCAATTTTTTTTTTCCGGCACAAAAATTTGCGTGTTGGAACTGGAAAATGCATAAGTAAAATGATAATATCGATATGAGACAGTTTCGTGTGCGATAGAATTCTGTGCTATCGGCAATCTCTATAAATACTCGATAGCAATGGTTATCGAAACGAAATACTAACAGACCTGTTGCCTAACAGAGCTACTAAATGTAAACAGTCGCGATTTTTTAAATGGTCGCGCGGCACCGCATAAGTTTATTGAAACATAGTAGCACAGATATAACTAAACTTTGTTAATTCATAGTTTTATGGAATCAAACTGAATATCAAACATTTTATATTTACACATAAAACATTTCATAATATTTCCCAGCCAGAAGCCTTTATGAAATAATAATCATTAGTTGAATAGTCAATTTGCTTCACCAAAACTAAATTAACATTTTTTAAAGAGAAACCTCGATATGCTCAACACTTTCTGCCAATGCTACTGCAGATTTATCGGCTTCCACAACTTCACCAACAATAAAAGCCTTCTGTGCTCCATTCGTTACTTTCTCAAACTCCGCGCAAAACTGTTCAGCTGCATTTCTTGTCAGGCAAATGAGAAGTCCGCCAGATGTCTCAACGGCTTTGCCTGCCGCTAACTTTGTGCTTTGTCCGACTAATTCGCCAAATTTAAGAACATTTTTAATTATGGGCAATTTGTTAATTTTAAACAAAAGCGACTGCTTCTGGAAGTCAGCAAGGTTCTTGGCATGGCCCAGCAAACCAAAGCCCGTGACATCAGTTGCAGCATGCGCCTCGTACTTGTGCATAAGAAGCGCGGCTAAAAATAAATAAATTAATTCAATTTACTAATTTCATTACAATTAATCATTCGAATCATACCATTTCGGTTCAGGTATGTCATCGATTTTATTGCCATTTGAAATGTGTTCAATATGTCGTCGTCCGTAAAATCAGCTAGCAGCTTTTCATATTTATCATCTTTCTCCTTCTGCCAAATGTGTGCAGCTGTCGCCAGCTGTGTTCCAAGCGGCTTGGTTAGCACCAATACATCTCCGGCCTTGCCATTTGAAGGTCTGGAATTGTTTAAGAATTCGATAAATGTGCATTACATTCTCTTGAAAGACTACAACTTACAGTATGATTTCTTGTTTTCGACAAAGGGATGTAGCTATGCCTCCCACAATGCACCAGGGATTGATGATAACATTTTTGACGCAGACATTGCCATAACAGCCGCTGCCACTTGTTGCCCTTTGGAAACCTTTCATTATTAATGGCACCACAATATCTCGCTGCTTCTCTGACATGTTTGAGGGTGCACTAATGAGCATTTCGATTTTATCAATGTCCGTTATTCCGACAGCGTATATGTCACTCAATACATTGGCCAAGGCAATGCGACCCATTGTTTCGGGGTCGTCAACCAGAGGATAAAAGAAATCAACAGTCTGTACTAGCGAATATTCCTTGTGCCGTGCTAAGGGTATAACCGCGCAATCCATTCCAGATCCTATATATTTCAAAATATTTTGTAATTAATTTTAATATTAAGGAACATTAATGTGCCGAGTTCTAGGTCTATTCGGATTGCAAAGGTCATAGTTTAGCTTATCTCTTGTGTGCTTGTTAATATTTATAAATCTCGGCACATTTTGATAAGCAGCACATAAATATAAAATTGTTAACTAGTAATATTCAGTAAGTGCTAAATATATATTTTATTTTTATATATTGTATAATAAGCTTACCAATATAGTCGTCATCGTGTTGAGGTGCATTGTTAACTATTTCTGTTCCCCTGAGATATTGTTTAAGCTTCTCTTCGGGGACTTTGCAGCCTCACCCTCGAAGGGTGGAGAACATGGTTAGTCGAAAGTCGGCCTCGAGGCCGTGATCTTCAGGTTGAAACATTGTTAAAATGTGCGCTAAAAATATAGAATGTATAATAAATATATTTATTATAACTATTTTCTCATACACACAGCTGTTTAGTCGCGTGGTCAAAATGAATCGAACTACTCTGACGCAGTGAACTAGTTCCTGGAACTTTTAATTCAAATATAACCCGATAAGTTTCACGACAATATAATATCGATTACTCGAATTGACCGTTGCTTAAGTTGAACTTAAAAAATGCCCAGAATTTTAAGACATATTTGACATTAAAGGGTAATCTCATATTATTTCAGCTACATTTATACATTTTGTATTTATAACCATTTACACAAACCCCATATACTTCTACGCCAGAACAAAATTATCACGCATTTGTCCATTTTTTGCGCTTTTATCTTGTTTATTTTCTCAAGCGAAAAAAAACCACCCAAAACACCCTTAACAGGAAAAAGCGAAGGGCGATAAAGGACACTGACATTGTCGGCAAACAAAGTTTAATAAACGTTCCGAATTAAATACATTTCATGCACAACTTTTAAAACAATGAAAATAGACACGCCCATAAAACGAATATAAAATATATTTTATATAAAATTGTTGGTCTTTAGTGTTTCCTTTCTATAACATTGACAAAAGTCGATAAAATTTGAACCAAAAATAAAATGTTTAAAAGTAAAAACGAATGTAATATTGTGTATAAGTGCACTGTGCGCCTACTTGATGATTCTGATGTCTTAGAGTGTGAATTTCAGGTGGGTTTTAAATGAACAGAAATACGTGCTCATGTGATACTCAGGTGAATATTCGGCATTTCATATATGAAAAAAAAAAAGAAGTCTTGCCGCACCGATGTTTGTTGTAAATATATGCATGTGTGCGTGTGTGTGTGCGTGTGTGTGTGTGCGTGTGTGCGTGTGTGTGTGCGTGTGCGTGTTTGTAGATATGAGAATAAGGTGGAGTTCGTAAGGGCGTAACTTTCCTATAGCTATAAAAAGGGCCAAACCCATTTCGAGCCCAAAAAAAACTGAATAGCCTTTTTTATAAATTTAATCAAAAGATTTGTCAAATATTTGCATATGTGTTCTTGCTAATTCTAGCCATTCCATAAAGGCATTTACCTAGTCGACCATATATGTAGGCAATTAGATATTAAGGAGAAGGACTATTTTGGCTTACGTTATGTGGACACAGGAAAACAACGGGTAAATATAACGATTTTAAAAGACAATCGTAGTTAAATGTATGTTTTTTGCTTTTTAGCACTGGCTTGATTTGGCCAAATCCATATTGAAACAATGCAAAGGTAAATGTTTGGAAATAACATTTGTAAACCAAACTGAAAATCAAATTGTTCCGCACAGATATAGATCCTGTGCTGTTTTCCTTACGCGTCAAATTCTATCCAGCGGATCCATTTCGCCTCACTGGCAATGGACGTATCATGCTCTTCCAGCAGCTGAAGAGAGATCTTCGTCACGGCCGGCTATACTGTTCCCTGGGCGAGGCAGCAGCTCTTGGGGCATTGATTGTGCAGGGTAAACTTTTCTTTACTTTATATATAAAAACACCGCAAATTATGCATTTATTTATATTTATAGAGGAGCTTGGGGACTATGACGAAATGATGCACATCGGCGACTATGTGTCATCGCTGGATTTGGCTCTGCGCCAAACCGAGAACCTGGAAAAGAAGATCATTGATCTGCATAAAAAGCGAAAGCCCGGTCAGGATCCCTCCGTGGCAATGGATGAGTTTATGGGCATTGCCCGTGGCCTCGAGACGTACGGCATTGATCCCCATCCCGTCAAGGATCATCGCGGCTCCCTGCTGTACGTTGGCATCAATCATGCCGGCATCAGCACCTTCGTGGCCGGCAAGCGTTCCCAGCACTTTCGCTGGAATGAGGTGCACAAGATTAACTTTGAGGGCAAAATGTTTATAGCACATTTGAGCTTCACGGATGCCAGCCGAGAGCCCGTAAGTGCTTGCCCTAATCTTCACTCTTCAATCTCAACTCAAACACGAACATGTTAATTGCAGAAAAAGCATACAATTGGCTTTAAGTGCCCCTCGGGACCCGCTTGCCGTTACCTGTGGAGGTGTGCGATCGAGCAAATGCTGTTCTTCACGTAAGTACAGGCGATATATTCTGGATCTTTCATTTATGTGCATTCATTTGCGACAGCTTACCAAATAGCCAGCATGCGGCTGTTGTCTCCGGCGGTGGCTTCTTCTCCTGGGGCACAAAGTTCCGTTATACCGGTAGAACTGAACGCGAGATTCTGACTGAAAGCATAAACGCATTACGCGAGCAAAAAATGACCAATTCAACGTCAAGCAAACGCAAGGCAAGCAGTGTTCCGGCCACGCCCTCCAGTCCACAGGGCGACTTGGCACAAATACGTGAGTAATATGCAAATATTTCAACTATATACGAATTATATGAATTCCAAATTCCATTCGATTTGCCAGGCTACAGCAGCTTGCCACGTTCAACAATGTCCGAGCCGTTGGGCTGTTCCATGGCACCGAGCATTCTCATCTATGGCGGCCATGGCCAGGACGTGGGCGTCAACGGCAGCCTGCAAATGCCCATTCTGGAGCCCGTTTGCGAGGAGGCGCGTCTGCGCTCCTCCAACATAGATAGACTTAATCATATGGGAACAGAACTAACCGGCTATGCATTCCGTGACTCCATCGAGCATTCGTCAACGGAAAGCGGACTCACGGCTAGTGGCTATGATGTGGCTGGCAAGCCGCGTGGCAATCAGAATGACTCCAAGCAGCACCTTTATTATTCATCCAAGCAGTACTATGCGCTGCCCAATCCCGCCTTAAATTCAAGCTCTTCCGTCGGTATCTCCAGTGGGAAACATATTGGCAAATTCTCGCGCACACACTCAAATTCCAATGGTGGCAAGAGTTTGCGTAAATTCCATTTGTTACACGCGTTTATACCATCCGTAATATTCGTTGTCATCGCAATGGCCGGCACTGCGGTCTTCATTATGGAATCGGAGCTGGAAATATTTGAACGCGTACGCAACACACCCGAAATGCTTAGTTTGCGTTATCAGTATTATCAGCCGCTAAAAGAATTTGTTATGGAAAAACTAGGCCGGAAAATGTAATTTCTTTTTCAATTCAAAAGACTTCATATACGGATATGTGAGCTATAGTCACTTTACGTTTTTAAAAAAAAATGTTACAATTGCAATAACTCTGGCAAATAAATGTAAAAAATTTGATTCCAAACGTTTCCATAGATATTCCCAATCATTCATTCGAATGAAGATATGAAAGAAAGATTTCTCATTAAGCTCGGCTAAGTCTATAGAATAACGGTTTTTTATACAAATCTGGTTAAAATCTCCTTCTGATATTACGCACTTAATCGAAGACAAACTTCTTTAATAGCAGCAAATTATTTTCGGCAAAGTGTTAAACAGATCATTTTTGAACTACATTACTTATTCGATTTCTTTAAAAAGTATCGATAGGACAGAAATCGATATTGTGCAGTCGGAATCAAAATACTTATTTACGGCGGTCACACGACGGTGCTGCCAACCATATTAGTGGCCCCCTTTTTTACAGTAGAATGATAAAATCTGACAAGCAAACCATTAAGTTTGTTCCTTATCCAACACTTGCGACAAAGCCTATGTACGATCACACAGTGAAAACTTGCAAGCCGATATAATTGAACAGTGCGCATGCGCGGAGTCGGCAATGAAAATTACAGGTTTGTTTTCTTGTGCTCAACAAGTTAAACACTTGCAAACGCATTTATATATATATATATATATATATGTGCATACGTGTGTAGCCGTTTCTTTTTTAGCGATTGTTAGCTGACGTATAAGTGCAAACGCCATTTTATAATTATTAGATATATAAAGACAGATTGACATAAATGCAAAACATATAAAATGGCAAAATTAATATGCATCTAAAAGTGTCCGTCGTATGTGACAAGTGTTTATAAAATACAAGAAACATTTTTTGCAGTTCACAAAACTGTGTACATGCATTTGTAAGTATGTATGTATGTATGTAGGTGTGCGTGCGTGTCGTTTGTCCACAGCCATTTAACGGCTTACATATGTATGTATGCATATATACATATATTAATTATGGGTTTCAAGTGTGTATACTCCTTGTACCACTTGTAAAATATGCACATACAACCTGCAGACTCACATATATCTACATCTGCAGACATGCGTGTGTGTGTGTGTGTGTGTGTGCGTTGTGGCTGTGTGAGGCGATTTCTAAAAGAGCATAAAACAGATGACTTAAGAAGCAAACTGGAATTGCCGATGATGAAATACCATCATGTTAATGTACTTTTACCAACGCGTAAAGTGTTCAATAAAAATGTATGTACACCGAACATAACTTGCATCATTCAAGGAGAAAATCAAGAAAGTTCCAATTGAACGCGTATTAGTCAAAGTCTGACGAGATGTCGCATCGCACACATTTTTCAAGCTCAACATTAACATTTAATTGTTCAACTTTTATTATTTACTTTCAGTAACAGATTTATGAATAGCTCTGCTGATTTAGGATTGTCAATCCAAGTGTATCTATTTTCCTTGTGATGATTTAAGCTGGAATCAATATAGATTCTATAGCTCCAATCTTGTACAATATTCAGCAAGTGGCAAGCGTATAATGGTCTATCCCGAAGAACCTTTTTGGGCTTTGCCAATGGTATCGGGATTATACGAAGATAGAGATTATAGGGGTAAAGAGAAAGTCATTTTTTAAATAAACCTTTTAATTTGATGTCTTGTAAATTTTCATTTTTCTAGTTAATGTAGTGGAAGCTTTGCAGGAGTTCTGGCAAATGAAACAGACGCGCGGCGTCGAGTTGAAAAATGGAGCTCTTGTAATTTACGAATCGATTCCATCGAATAGCCAGCCCTATGTTTGCTTCGTAACATTACCTGGCGGGAGTTGCTTTGGCAGTTTTCAGGTGGACTCTTTCATATAATATGTTTTGTGTATATATTACTAATCGTTTGCCATTGGCATTGCAGAATTGCCCAACTAAAGCTGAGGCCAGACGAAGTTCAGCTAAAATTGCCCTCATGAACTCGGTATTCAATGAACATCCATCTCGTCGCATAAGCGATGAATTTATAGAAAAAGCGGTTCAGGATGCACGCGCCTCTTTCAAGGGAACACCACAAAATAATGAACTACCAGAATCGGGAATTGGCGCATTTAGGTAAGTAGCAGATCATTTTTTTAATATATAACATAAGTCTAGACGTAGCTCTGTATTTAGATTCATGCTTGAAGCAAATAAGGGTCGAACAATGTTGGAATTTCAAGAATTGATGACCGTCTTTCAACTACTACATTGGAATGGATCCTTGAAGGCAATGCGCGAGCGCCAGTGCTCCAGGCAGGAGGTGGTCGCACATTATTCAAACCGTAGTCTGGATGATGAGATGCGTGCCCAAATGGCACTCGACTGGATAGCACGTGAGCAGGAGAACCCAGGAGTGCTACGAAGAGAACTGGTCTTGGCTGAACGCGAGCTAGAGACGGCACGCATGGCAGGGCGAGAGCTGCGTTTTCCCAAGGAGAAAAAGGACATATTAATGATAGCACATAACCAACTGGGTGGCAGCAATTTGGGTGCAGCATCCATTGAAAACTGAACAAGTGAAAGGAGCTAATAATAAAGGGGATACAATTAGGTATATATGGAGAACAATCCGTTCTTAGTCTTGGCATCATTAAAGCATCATATCTCTATATATATACATACATTCAGCAAGTAATCTTCGCAAGAACCCGCATAACACAAACAACAGTTTATTTTATTGGCAAAACCACATGATCTCGAGTTCTGTTAAATCCGTTAAAGCTCATTTAAAACTAATTACCAGGAAAATGTAAGAATAATTATCAGTTACTGACAGCCCGACAAATGAATATTATGAAAAGAAAATATCATAAAAGATAAAAGAAACTCGTTTAAAAACTGACAAGTGCAAAATACTTTCGGAATGAAAAATTGTGATTTAAATACTGAATTTACGGAATTATTTTGAGACTAAACTTAAATAGTATAGTTAAATTTATTGTGTGTGTATATGCATGTGTATTTATATATCAAACATTGTCTCAGCGCCAAGCGCAACTCATTTGAGGCATATTACCATTTAGATAAATTTTTAAATAACTTCATCAATCCCTAATAAAATGTACTAATTTGGCAATTCAGTTATTTTATTTGTGAACTTTTGAACAAAATTATGTTAAACTAGTGCAAAAAAGAATTGTATTAATACATATGTCGATTGCCTAATAACGAAATAAAACCAACAAAATATGTCTGTCTGCCTTTCTATATGTGCACTTACGATCTTTTAATAAATAATTCTAAAAACTTTCAAGCACTCACTAATTTAAATACAGAAAACTCATATACTTCACTCAATCATTCAGCAAGCAATTAGCAAAGATGCTGATGCATTCAATCAATCAATTAATCAATCATTTTTGCATCTTAGCTCTTGAGGTTTGGCGGGCATGCATTAATTTCTAGTTTCAAATATATTGAAAGCTGCAAATGGATTACTACAAAATACTGAATGTTTCGCATGAAAAAATACTGCTAAGATGTTGCCAAAAATACTAACTTCATACCACACTTTGAATTTTAACCGACTGCGCGGGCAACAAAAAAAAAACGAATTCCAGTTAGATTCCAGTTAGATCCTTCGTAGTCGCCACTTAACCGTTGCTATCTCCAGACACAGCGCCAGTAAAGCGAGTAATGCACCACCTTAAAACTCGGTCATGAATTAAATATTAAAAAAATGAAACTATTTCTTACATAGCAAGGTGAGAAATGCTGAAGAAACACCTGATATGGTCACCGGGTAGACGGTGTACAAGGACTGACATGCTGGCTTTTTCATTTGACGCTGTCTAAGAATTCTCTCAACTAAACCAACTTCGCGAGCATTGCACATTCTAAATGTCAAGGCAAATTTAATAAAATTATATATCATAACAATTATGTACTTACGCTGTTTTGAAGAGCTCCGTATATTGACTATTTTTATGCACAATCCAATTCATAATCTCCACTTCCATAAGACCAGATACCTCGCGTAAATCGCAAATTTCATTAGCGTCAAACAGTTCTGCTATTATCGGATAGGCGTCAACTACCTCGCAGTGAAATGCGAAACCGCCGTTCTTGAGATATGGAATCGCTTCCTCTATGTGGCCGTAAACACCCATTTCATTGGCACCTCTAGATGAGGATAATTTTTTGCTTATTAGCCGAGTCACAACCGGGTTTGAACTTTCCTATTTGTGAAACATATTTAAAAGGTGAACCTTTTTACTTGATTGTTTCGACTTACTCTAAATAAAACTTTATAGTATCCAATATCTTCAAATGATATTTTAAGAGGGCTAGATGTTATTTCATCAACCGTAGCCGGACCTTGATCCGAAGAGCTGAGCAATCCACCAACGACAGATGACGTGTAATAGTTGTACATTACCACGGAGAATAGAAAAACTGTTACCACAATAGAGCGAGACGGCAAGTCCTTGGGAATAGGTTCCATTCCCTGTTGACAGACGGCACCAAAAGTATGTAGAATACGTTCTGTCCAGTTGCTTTGGGATTTGGGATCTGCACGTGTCATTTTATTTTCAGCTGTCAAATTTATGGCCCTCCGCCTCAGTCTAGCTACCGATAATATATTCCGTATATTCAAATTTCTTCGTTTCAACTGTTTCTCTGCTTTGGAATGCCATCTCTTGCTCAGGTACTCGAGGAGCAACCAAATGACGGTAATCCCTATTAAGGTGCCCAACGTGAAGAACCACACTTGTCTGCTAAAGGGTGCTAAGAAATTACCGCTTTTTCCGTGTGTATCCAAGTCGGGCGTAAAGCGAAACAAAAATGCAGTCTCAAACTTCCAGCTCTGGTGTATAGTGTCGAACTCAGCAAAGCGATTAATACGATTGAATGCACCGGAAGCTGCAATGTCTGCCTCGTTGCGCATAATTATGCCCAGCAGTCCCAGTCGAAATGTTGTGTTGCCCAATCTACCAGCCCAACCCCTGGAGTTGCGGAACTTGACGGTAAAGTTAAAACGATCTCTGAGCAGGCATAATAGCTCGTAATGATACTTGATGAATGCTGCTACACCAGGATCCTTTGTGGGTCGTGAGAGTACTGCTTCAATTTGTTCATTCGTCAATATATTCTCTTGATCAATCTAAAATATTAATAATCGGTTTGTATAAGCGGAAGTAATATTTTATTTTACAAAGCATTTTTGCTTACCACACTTGCACCTCTTAAAGTCAATCCATTGAATTGACTGCGATATTTTATGCTTTGCAGCTCGAATATGTCTTTAATTATAAACAATTGCTTCTTATCATTTAATAGTTTGGCTATCAAATGTATTTCTAAGGCTGATTTCAGTTGACGGCCCTTTGAATGTATGTCCCAAAGATAATATGCGCCCTTTGTTTTATTGACATAGGTAATTTGCGCATTCGGTCCAACGTAATCTAGCTCGAGTGGCAGCAACTCGTCAATACTCCTATCTATGCCCCACAAGAGCCACTGATATGTTTTGTTAAAGTATCTATTGGCAGAAGCCTCCTTAAGCAGCCTAGATGAGCCTTCGCAATTGGTGTCCACAATCACAGTAGTTCGAGCGTAATTTTTTCTTGTTAAAATTGATTTGAGAATGTATGAGCTATTTATGTGGACCGGTTGAACAAATTGATTGGATTCCATTAATGCTAGAGCATTCGAATAAAGATCTAAAAATGAAAGAATTATGCAAAATTATTAGTTGCAAGTTTGGTAACATAAAAGTAGATTACATACCTTGTTCAGAACAGGCAAAGATAATGTTTTCTTTAGTTTTAACCAATCGCGTCGTGAACTCCGTTAAAACAGAAGTTTCCATTGAGGAACTTTGTCCCAAAAACACACATACTAAGGTTAACACTAAAGTCAGCACGCTTAAACACATTGCATATAGTTCCCTTTGTACTCTGTGATATTTAAGCAAACACGCTTTCTTTTATAGCATAGTGCACTAGTGGGTTGATTGACAGCTCAAATTGAAGCAAGCACTTACAAATGCAAATTGAAAAATATACGCGTAATAGTGCGTAAGGAGTCAATTAAATTATCAATCAAAAAAAATCTGCAGAAATACATATTTAGTTACAGTTAAGGGATTCGGTTCGATCCTGTATGCTATTAAACTAGATTAATAGTTTTTTAATGTATTCTATACTTATCATTAAAGTGACTGCTATTATTTACAATTGGCTTTCTTTTACATTTTAAATATTATTCAAGCAATCACTATACCACTTGCAACTGTATTTGCTTTTGCATTAACGAGTCAATGGGATTTTCATAACGAATCAACTTTTTTAGCAAAAATGTACCATCCTGATGGTAATCGGCATCTACAACAAAGACTTCCACAACTTTTGTCATTAGGAACTGCTCGTTTTTCAGAGTGTCTACTATAAGCAATGGGGATACCTTAATAAGCCCCAATTTAGATGGACAAATGGTTAGTGGAAATTCTGCAAACTGGCCCGGCTGCAATACATCCAATACAAAATCAGCTGAGCCAGTATAGGGGCAGTCGGCAAACGCTTTAGTTTCGAGAGTAATATGCAGCTTCATGGCGTGCTCGGCTGTATTGGTTACTCTGCATTGGAATGTAAATATGGTGCCGATTTTGACAATATTCTCGGCATCGATTACTTCTAAGCGCAGGTCCTTGTATTCAAAGGGCTGAAAGTGATTAAAAACTTATCTAAATCAAATTTGTATGGATACTTTTTTTGAGTACATACCAATCTCTGCAATTGGCTCGTCTGCAATCTGCCTTTCTCCCCAAAATTCGATCTCCAAACAATGTCCAGCTTACCCACATTATTTGCTTCGCGAAGTGTTTTGATGTCTTTCGCAACTTCGGGTTTTGGCTGGAATTTCAAAAATATTTAATCTTCTGATTAAGAGTTTATGCGACCATTGGATGCAACCTTTATGCAATACAGAAATTGGCAGCTGTTATTTGGCTGCAGCATATTTTTTGACGTGAATACCGACTCTCCGTTGGGTAAAGTATTCAAGGAAGTCACAGTGTATTGCTCGGAACTGTCCAGTTCAACTTTCTCCAGACAAAATGGCCCGGTGGTCACGTTTTGAATTTGCGCCTCTAGATATATTTCATCCATTTCGGCATTATAAAACTTAGTTTTCACATCCAGTGGCTTAAGCACTTGGAACTTGAAGAACTTTCTCAGCGATTGTGCGAAACCAGCGGGACTAGTATAATTCACCTCACACACCAATCTAATAGACGTATTCAGTTAATTATAGAGAATATAGATTGTAATAGACAGATGTTACGCACATATGAGTTCCAATCTCCTTTACTTCATATCGAATGACATCATCGAGCGTCTCATCGGCTGTTAGGACCACTGAAGATTTCTTGTTTTCATGCATTAGCAAATTTATTCGCGACGTGTTTGACTGCAGATCGACCTTCACAGAAACGCCTTCAACGGGATGAGTCGTGCAATTGTGTACACAAATGTAGCTGGAAAATGTTTCGCCTAGATATATATTTCCAAACGATTGGGGCAGCAGCATAGTTTGGCCAGCTCCAAGTGCTTCGGCACAAGTTCTGGCAATGCCATCGAACTCCACCAGTCGGTTAAAACTCTGTGGCAAATCCTTCGGCTCACAGGTAACAATTGGCCCAAGCCCTACCAACGTGGGACGAGTCAGTCGCATAACTGTAATAAGACTCTTGAATGAAAGAATTCTGTAGACTGCAGATCGGTCTGCCTACCCTTTAAAGCCAATAAATGAGTTTCCGTGTCAGCAGCATTCATTTTGTTGAAGTATCAGGTGAAACGCACATAAAATGAAACACAAATATCTGAGTTATCGATAGTTGTTTATTAGTGATGACAGCAATGAGACGATATATATTGAATATCAAAAACCTCGCAACGATTAGTATCTTGAATCCCTACATTATTATTTAAACAAATTCCAAGTATCGGCTTACTACACGCATTTTCATTTAATAAGAAGCTTAAGTTTAATTTACATATATTACGGCAAACAAATTCACCCACCCTCTAGCTCTCCAGCGAAACCATGTCACGACTTATAAAGAACGCAGAGACCAGCGCTGCGGTTTGGGCAGTCTCAGTGCAGCCTTTTGTTAATCTTTCCTCGACCTGTGCCATCTTGACAATTAATTTATTCATTACCGACATGGGAAGTTCAACTGCAGGCGAAAAGTAAGAATTAATTACAGAAATAAAAAAGATTTGCAGTACTTTTATACTCACGTCTCATAATAAACAAATGCAGTTCAGTGACAATGTCCTCCAGGGCAAGTCCGCGCTTACTCTTGGCTTCCTCAATAGCTGATTAAAAGTGAATTAGTAAGGCTAAGGAACATTCTTTTCTATGAGCTGAGTACTTACTATCAAATGCGGAATCAAAAGTTGCTGCCGAGAGCAATGTTTGCAGCATATGTTCAATTTCACTTCTTAGCGGATAACCCACACACATATAAACATTATCCTCGTTGACTATGTCAAAAGCCATTGAGGTACTCTGCAGCACATTTAACACCTTTCGCATATCACCTTTGGCCAGCGTGAGTAATGCGTTCTTGCCATCATCCGTAACGTTGACACTTAAAAGGCAAGCAGTACAAATGCTTAGTTTAAAGACACTAATTTAAAATCTACATTGACCACTTACTTTTCCTCCTGTATAACCTTATCAAGACGCGGCAGCATCTGCTCGGGTGAGAGCGGTGCGAACCGGAACCGTGTGCAACGCGACTGTAGGGCCGGTATTATTTTGCTCAGGTAATTGCAAATGACGCAAAAGCGAACGTTTTCCGTGTACTTTTCAATGATGCGGCGCAGTGCATTCTGCGCGTCGTTGGTCATGGCATCTGCCTCGTCCAAAATGATTAGCTTAAACGTGCCACAGAAAATGGTGCGTGTCGAGGCAAAGTTAAGTATCTGGCCGCGAACGATTCCAATGCCACGATCATCGGAAGCATTTAACTCCAATACCATAGACTTGAAGTGTGCCGGCGAGTAGAGTTGACGTGCACAGGCTAGGATAGTACTCGTCTTGCCCGTGCCAGGTGGCCCATAAAAGAGCAAGTGAGGCAGCTGCTTCTGATTAATGAAACGATTGACTAAAATGTACAAAAAAATGTGAGCTGCATAATTCGTCTGCCACAATTAAAGCATGCACTTACTAGTCGATATTATTTCCTCATGGGATATCAAGTCATCCAAGCAGTTGGGACGATATTTTTCAACCCATGGCATACGAGCGACTGCACCATTGTTTTCGGACATCTTTATTGTAATTTACACTAAATTGTATATTGGAAAAATATTTACGCATTCGCGCCGTTTTCTAAGTGACCGAGTCCTATCGAAAAATGTATCGATATTTCGCGTGTTCAATCATCGTTTCCATTTTGACTTGCGTTAAAAGCGATTTTTCTTACGATGTTTTCGGCCTCCTCTTTACTGTTCTAGAAACTAATTAAAAACGTTCCAATGATTTGTTTTAATTTATTCCAATTAGCTTTTTTAGCATTATTTTGTTTGATGTCATCAATATATGATGTTTTCAACCGAACATATTTAATAAATAGAGACCTTTTATATTTAACTGCTTCTAACAGCTATTTTATTACAATATATATATCTTTTGTGTTGTTTATAATTACAAAAAAACAACAATTTAATAATCTAAAGACCATTCATTGTCGGCAATAAATGAGTCAACTACCTCCTTCATTGAAAAGTTTGGTATTAACTGGTCTTGCGTGAGTTTGACTCGTGTAACAGGATCAAAATGGCCAACACGCTGCAAATGCTCCTCAATGTCCTTCCGCTCATAGGTGATACCAGATGGGGTGATCACAGGGTCAGTTAAAATCTCGAAGCTTATTTTTCCACATAGGAAATCCGGCACATCACGTTTCTGTAAATCAAATTTTACGCATTTAAATATAGTTTGCACTTGTAACTTAACTTTATTACTTACCCTTCGGCGTTCATCCACTTTTGCGAATATGTTGTTAAGCTCTTGGATGTGATCATCCTATAGGAAAAATGTATATAAATAAAAATGAGGCGTCAAATTACACTGTTTATGAATTCTTAACGTAGCATAGCGAAGTCCAAGTTAGAATACACAATATTATAGAATTCAATTATTACTGAATTCTTAAAAAGCTAACTATAGTTATGTGACGACACGCGAATAGAAATATTGATATTTCAATTGAGCTTAGTTATGCGAGTTCCATACAAAACTTACACATTCTTGTTCAATTTCCTGCTGTTTATCCTTTAGGTGTTCCTCATTCAAGTTTTCATTCAACTTTAAGCTGGCTAGACGGTTTTCCATATCATCTTTGATCAAGCTGACAATACATTAGGAAATATAGATCAAATTTTAAGGAACTTTCAAGTGAGAATTAACTAGGTGTACGATTACCGATTCAAATAACTCTGCAGCTCAATTTCTTGGTGTATTCGTTTTTCCTCTAGAACGTTCCAACGCTTTTTGCGTGCCAGTCTCAACTGCAATGTTATATCATCTCCGAAGTTCTGTTTTTGCTCCTTTGACAAATCATAGGCTTAAAATAAAGGACCATTAGAGCTCCAAGGGGATTTCCAATAATATACATGTCTACCTCGTTGAAGATGCTTTATTGCTTCATCATAATTATCTATCTCCATAAGGCCCTGTCCCAAGAAAAAATGTCCCTTTAGCAAATTTCCATCTATATCCAAAGCTCGCCGGCAATCCTGACAGCATAGCTCCCAACGCTTCAGCTTCAGATTGCAAAGGGCACGGTTTGTAAAATATGTTGCATTTGTGGGATTTTTAATCTATATAAATGTAATACACATATGATTCACATTTAAGTTTCAAGTTTATTAATGACTTACAATGGCCTTGGAGTAACATATAATCGCATCGTCATATTTGCGAGCTGCAAATAAACAATTGCCCTGTTCCTTCAATTGCAGGTCAGATAAATTTGTTGTTGAATAAATATGTTTGCTCGTCATGCTGGGAATAGTTTTGCTTTCTTAATCGTATTATATGTCTGAGAAAATTATTTATGTAGGCATAGAAATTGTCAAAAACAGCTGACACGAGTATCCTGAGCAATAGAAGCACTACAGAATTTGCGTATCATTTAATCCGTATTCCGATGCACCAAAAATAAAAGGGCCTCTCTTTTGTTTTTCTTCAACATAAAATACATATGTGTGTGTGTATGCAAGTAATTTTCGAAATCTGTTTAACACTACTATTTATCGATAGTCGCACATTATTGAGTGTGTAAAAAAGTTCGATATTAATTGTGCCGCATTGGGAATCAGTTAGTTATGCTATGTGATTAAGGGAAAATAAAATGTTTGTAAAGCAGTCTGACTTTTCGTTTCAAAAATAGTCTTGTAAATGAAAAATTGTATTCAATTGGAAAGCTGAGCTCGAAGCATCTTAGCTGTTCTCTGGCAACTTTATTGTTTTCGCTCTTATAAAAATAATATAAGCGCTTAAAAACAGTTTTAAAATAATATCGCAAAGCTCATCTATCTCTTTTCCGCTGATTACCGATAAATATTAAAATCAGCTGTTTTATAATGGCTCTGTAATCAGCTTTAAAATTTCGAAATTGTTTTGGTTCAACTCTTCAATTCTTGTCAAAGGCGGCGTTAACCGTTTTATTTTATTTACCCCATTTTCTAATATATGTAAATAGGATTTTTTTCAACACTGTAGCTCTTCGTAAGTATTTCGACAACCTGTTAAAAACATGTTACCACCATGTTAGTTTAACAGATATACGAAGAAGAAGAAGCGAATTATTTGTCAGTCTAAATTAGTTTTTTGCGTTTGCAAATAGAAAAAACGTAAAAGATTAAAAAATAGTTGAGCATAAAAACGATAAACTAGTATCAAATGGCTTCAACTTCAAGGTAAATAATATATTTAATATCCATTGTGAGTCATTTTAATAAGCATCATGGCAATTCACTAGACTCGAAAACAATAAGGTGTGCTGCTATGCACACCCCGAGTCTCCATTAATTGAGGATTATCGAGCTGGTGACATGATATGCTCAGAGTGTGGCTTGGTTGTTGGAGACCGCGTTATAGATGTGGGCTCCGAGTGGCGCACATTCAGCAACGAGAAAAGTGGTGTAGATCCCAGTCGTGTTGGCGGTCCAGAGAATCCCCTACTTAGTGGCGGTGATTTATCCACAATTATTGGTCCTGGCACAGGCTCAGCTTCATTCGATGCTTTCGGGGCACCCAAATACCAAAACAGACGCACTATGAGCAGTTCAGATCGTTCGCTAATCTCCGCATTCAAAGAAATTTCATCAATGGCTGATCGCATCAATTTACCCAAAACCATTGTCGACCGCGCAAACAACTTATTCAAGCAGGTGAGCAGAACAAGTATTTAGTTTGATAACTTTTATAGCCCGATTTGTTTTGCAGGTGCATGATGGTAAAAATCTAAAAGGACGCTCAAATGATGCCAAGGCATCCGCTTGCTTGTATATAGCCTGCCGCCAAGAAGGTGTTCCACGCACATTCAAGGAAATCTGTGCAGTTAGTAAGATTAGCAAGAAAGAAATCGGCAGATGCTTTAAGCTAACGTTAAAAGCACTTGAGACAAGTGTTGATTTAATTACCACTGCCGACTTTATGTGCCGTTTTTGTGCAAACTTGGGTAAGTTGATCGTTTAAAGGCAGTTTTAGATTCGACATCATTTTCTTCTATATAATTGCAGATTTGCCGAATATGGTGCAGCGAGCTGCTACACATATTGCAAAAAAAGCTGTGGAAATGGACATTGTACCTGGACGATCGCCAATCTCTGTGGCAGCCGCCGCAATTTATATGGCATCGCAAGCATCTGAGCATAAGCGCAGCCAAAAGGAAATTGGTGATATTGCTGGAGTAGCTGATGTGACCATAAGACAATCATATAAGCTAATGTACCCGCATGCGGCAAAACTATTTCCAGAGGATTTCAAGTTTACAACACCAATTGATCAGCTACCGCAAATGTAAAATATACTGCAGCAAAGAATATCGATGCTCAATCATCATTTATACCTTCAGAAACTAAGTTTGCAAAATTAGCAACATGGATATACATAAATATGTGTGTAGGGCATGCCTAGTTTTAAGGCAGAATTGACCATACTTTAATCACAAGAAAAATACGATTTTATTCATATTAAAAAGCCTTAAAACGCAAATGAACTCGCCTTGTTAAAATGCAGCACGAAGCTTGCACCAATGTAATTAAGATCAGAGAATCAAAATATATATATAGGGCATGACATACACGTTTGCTCAGTGCATTGTAAGAAAATAAATGCTCATGTTGCTGCTTTAAATAGTTACATTTACTATTATATTCAAAATTAAGCTTGTAACTTCTTAATTTATCTTTGAGGAAGTAAACATTTATTCAGCATAGGCATATATAATATAGTATATTTAGAAGCACTCGCTTAAAAGCTTTCATTATAACACATAATTGTAATATAGTATAAATAAGTAAGAGTAACTCGATATACAACAGTAGAAGCCACATAAATTAATCAATACCCAAAGAGCACTTCTCGTTATCCGTATGCCCCACACATTCCAAGGCAGGTCGATGCTCCGAGTCCCACATGCCAGGACCACAGCGCTTGCACAGACCACTTAATGTGCACGGAATCTTTGGCAACTGTCGATACTGATACAGCAAGCCGCGTGCCTTACGCAAAATCAGTTGGCCATCCATGTACATGGCCAGTGAGCTGAAGTGCAGCAGCATCTCGTCGGCACGCAAGTTCTGAGCAATGACATCATCCGCATAGACAGCTATTATGGCCAGGCAGAGGAACAAATGAAAGTAGTCTGTGAGATAGTTTGACCAGCAAGCCTCCCACATCCGTATGACCACGGCCTCGGTGAATTCCCGTTTAAAGCATAGCAAAAGCCAACGATGACAGAACAGTAGCTCCATGGCTTCGTTGTGTCGTTCCAAATGCTCGTAAAAACGCGGCAACATGAGTCTTATCAACTCACGCAGGTAGCTCAAATTGTGGTCCACGTCGTTATCCGTGGGCGTGCAAACAAAAAACGCTCGTTGCATTAAGCCCACAAAACACCAGAATGTTTCCGATTCGTTTTGCACTTCACACAACACGGGTGCCAGTAGATCACTCATGCCCTGGAAATAGAAAGATGATGGATAGAAAGAAGGGTCAATCACGAGATGGACTATGCTCACAAATAAGAACTTACCTGCGAGTAGGATATGCTCGTGTTGTAAATGGCAAAGTTTAGCAAAATGTTTTTCATCATCTCTGTGTTGGGATTGTCTTCACCGCAGAAAAAGGGATTTGTACGATCGGTGCGAACAACGTCCTTCTCGACAACGCACTGCACAGTCCTCCAGAATTGCACTTGCTGCTCCGGCGACATGGAGTACAAGCGCTTGCGTGTTATTTCATCATACTCCTGCCTCTTGATGTCCATCAGCACGGCCCTGTCCTCGAATGTTGATGAGAACGAATAGCACTTCAAGATGAAAGGCCAAACGGTTTTGCGCAGACTCTTTTCCAGGCCACCGAAAAAGACGCACTTGCGCAGCAATAAATCATCTTCGATTTGGCCCTTCTCGTTTAACAGCGTGCCATAGAAGAAGTTTGTGGTGATTCTTTTAACATTGCCCTCATCGGGATGCATCTCGGACTGTTTGACTTCGGGGCGACAGACCATAAAGTGTCGATACGGCAAGTTCATCTTCTCCTGGCCTGGAGCTAAGGTAATATTGTGTAGAAAACAGTGCCACTGGTGCAGCACTTGAGCCAAGTGATCCAATCCGCCGTAATGGAAATGTAGTATCTTGTATTGTGATTCGCGAGAAGCTATCACCAGCTGACCGGACGTGCACTTATCATCGTTGAAGAAGAGACGCAAGGAGCGCATTTGGCTAAGATCGACAGAAAAGCGACGCCCCCGGATTACTGCTTTGCGGCGTACAGTCGGCGTGGCGTTGGCGCTCTCCGGGAACACCAGGTTATGCTTGAAGGCCAGCAGCTCGGGGGTCATCCAGTTTGGGTTATTATCATCGGACACGGACCCATCCGAGTTTAGCTGATGCGTAGGCTGATTTGCTCGGCCAAGTACAGCCGCGTTGCTGCCCTCGCTGTCGGGTGAGGCAATAATACAATTGTATGATTGGGAGATGTTGCTGTTCTCGATCTGTGGATTGGAAATGGTTATGTTTACGGATGTAATGGGGTTCTTTTTGAGCAGAGCAGCTAAGTCGCCAATGGATGCAGTTTGTCCGCCCAGCAGCGGCTGCAACTCGTTCTTCAATTCCTGCATTTCAGCCGCGTTCTCCTCTTCGGCTCGCGTGCCCATTTCATGTTCTTGCTCATCGATGAGCCTGGGCGCGGGCACCGCCACCTGGGATGTGGGCGAGAAATGTCCATTAGTTGGTAGCATATCATGATTTCGATTGTGTATAGCCTCGCCGTCGGTGGTTGTCGAATTGCACTTGCAGAGCGAGGTGTTCGGTATCCATGTGAGAAGGAGGGTTGGTCTTTTGGCGCTGTTGTACTGATCTATGAAGGTTTTCGTGGTGCATGTCAAGTAGCCAGGATAGTGTAGGATATCTGATTCCTGGCGAGCCACAGTCGGTGGATGAATACAAACATTGTTCTTGCAAAAAAGTATTTCGTTGTCTTCATAAGCGATATCGATTTTTTCATCAGACCTCTCTTCGCCGAGTATAAAGTTGGATGCCTTTTTGATAATATTTCCAATTGGCATTTTTGATTAAATTGTGTTCCGTTAAGGCAAACCGTTATCCCAATTGCAGCCTTTTCTTTCGTTTAATAGAATTATACAAATGACTGCAGCAAAGTAGATGAGTTTTTCGGGAAGGTAACGCGCCTTATTATTTTGATTTTCGAACGTTTCTCACATAAGATAGTAACAAGGAGTAACCATCCTGTTGGTAGGCTCATCAGAATTGATTTTTAATTCTGCTTAAATTTTCAATTTCAATTTTCAACTTGGAATGTTTATAAGGTGGCTGTGAAGTAGGGAGTTGGATACCGACTCACGGTATTAATAATTTGAATGCAATAGTATCACAAATCGTTGACATAACTATCGGGTGGTCAAATAACCGATAATTTTTTAATTGTGCAGAAAAATGATTTCACTTAATAGAATAACCGTTTATTGTAGTTGGGCTCAGCATTTCGGATAAAATACGTTTTTCTGAGATTCAGGCATTAGGTTAAAAAAATTATCGAGTAGGCAAAAAAAATCGATAATTTGGTATCTCTTATTGGACAAGTGTGACCTCTTTAATTATTTAATTAAAAGAATTACCATTTTTTGTAGTAGGGGTCACACTGATCTTAATTTTGGATAAAATAAGTTTATTTGTGATTCATTCATTCAGTTAAACAAATTAACAATCAGCGGACAACACTGAACGCTTATCTGTGCTATTCAGTTAATTCACGCGGATACACACAATACCAACATAAGCATTTGCTATAGATCATAACTCTCGCTCTCAGTGAAAGAATGGCAGCCGAGATAAAACCAGCGCAGCGCAGCAACAACGATCGCTTTTTGTCAACCAAAAAGCCGGAGTTACTCAGTAAATTAGAGGGAAGCGGAGATGATGTAAACGCAGCTATTTTAATACCAGGCGAAAACGGAGTAATTAGCGTTTCTGACGACAAGTGCGTAAATAAATACAATAAACATTAGCTTTACCCACGCAAAATTTTCATTATGGCTTACTTTTGTATATAGAACTGTGCGAGTATGGCTTAAACGAGATTCCGGTCAATATTGGCCCAGTATTTGCCAGTATATGCCCTCAGGCTGTACGGCCATCGAATATGTTCCGGAGCTGCGACAATTGTACATTGGCCAAGACAACGGTACCGTCACCCAATACACACTCTCTGAGGACTGCAATCGCTTATCATTCATGCGCGACTATTTGTCGCATCAGGGTCGCGTTGTAGCCGTCGTATTTTCCAAGAGCCATAACTGGATACTCTCTGCTGGCAAAGATAAACAGTTCGCATACCATTGTACGGAGACCGCCAAGCGAGTGGGCGGATACAATTTTGAAACACCATGCACAGCGCTACAGTGAGTAAATAAGTAATCTCCGGTCGACATGAGATTGCAGCAGTAATGCTTTAATCAGAACAATTTGATTTGAAATTAATCAAATTAACTTTAATCTAGGTTTGATGCTTTAGCAAAATATGCATTCGTTGGAGATCATGCGGGTCAAATAACAATGCTGCGCTGCGAAGTGCAGGGAGTGCAGCTTATCACCACATTCAAAGGACACACGGGTAAAAACAATTGCAGACAATATCCTGGCAGTTGTGCAAGCCGATGCTGATAAGATTTTAACTAACACAAAATACCCTTTCAGCTGGCATTAGATGCTTAAGATGGGTCGAAGGTCCTCAGCTATTGTTCAGTGGTGCGTGCGATCAATCGGTTATTGTCTGGGATGTTGGTGGCAAGCGAGGCACAATTTACGAGTTGCAAGGCCATGGGTAACACACATACATCCATATCTGATAACAACATATTAACATGGAACACACCCTCAATTCAGCAACAAAGTATCGGCTTTGGCGTACGCCAACCACACTCAACAATTGATATCGTGCGGTGAGGATTCAGTTGTAGTGTTTTGGGAAATGAACGCGATGCGCAAGGAGGTGCCTGGCTGGGTGGAGTCCAATAATTGCCAGCTGTGCTCAAGACCATTCTTTTGGAACTTTCGTTCGATGATGGACCAAAAGCAATTGGGCAAGTTAATGAATTTATATTGAATGACTTGGTTTTTAAATGTTATTTTAATGCAGGCATACGACAACATCATTGCCGGCACTGCGGCAAAGCTGTTTGCGATAATTGCTCAACGAATCGCATCAATATACCCATAATGGGCTTTGAATTCGACGTGCGCTGCTGCGATCCATGCTACAAGCAGCTGCAGACAGTGGAGCGTCCATCCTTAGCAGCCTTTCACGATGCCAAGCATTCTATTGTGCATATGGACCTGGACGAGGAGCGTAAGCGTCTGCTGACCGTCGGCCAGGATCGACTCATCAAGGTGTGGGATTTGTCAACCATTTGGGCATAATGTTTATACTATGGCAACTGCAGCATGCATGACTTGACCGCAAGTTCGGCGTTTCAATTTTAAAAAATTATATTGTATTGTATTAAACTAAATAAAAATACCAAATACATATGTAAGTATTGAACGAAAAAGAATGAAATTTGCCACGGTTGGAAGCACTTTTACAATATAAGCAATGTTCAACATAAAACGCATATACATATAATTATAAATATTTACAATTGATAAGTTCTCTTTTCATCAAATTGAAATTGATGTAAAACGAAATTCCATGGATATCAATAAAAATCAAACAACGTCTGTAACATTCAAATAATTATATGTGTATGGACTTATTTAAAGCACGCGTAATATAAAAAATGTATATATATATAAATTTAAATGCTTCAATACTCAAATATTATTTTTATTTGCCTTTTCTTGCTCTTGAAAATGTAAAATAACTGATTGCTTTACATATCGAGTATATAGCTAGATGTCATTGATTCTTCATAATAAATCGAAATACGAAGAACCAATTCTCAGATTTACCCACATAAAAAGCCAATTACTGACTCAAATTTTATTTTATTTACTATATAGATAAACGGATGCTTTTAATTAATAGCCACCTCGACCTGGCGGTGGTGCGCCTCGCATCATTGGTGGTGGTCCTCTCATTGGTGGTGGTGCGCCGCGTCCGAGACTGCCTGGCATAGCAGGAATGCCGCCGGGAATCATGCCTGGCGGCGGTGCACCCATCATTGGGGCTCTGGGCACACCTCGACCCATCGGTGCCATGTGCTGTTGAGCGGGACCACCCACGCCTCTTACGGGCCCTTGCAAGCCAGCCGGTACGGACGATATGTTCATCGGTACGCCACGGCCAGCAACACGACCAATGCCTGGACCTGGGGCAGCGCCGGGAATGGGTACTCGTGGCAGGCCCTCCTCGGGTGGTGGCGGCCCTTCGACGGTAAGTGATACAATGTTCTCACCACGCAGCAGCACGAACCCCAGCACACGCTTCTCCTCCCGCTCTGGCACTTTCGAGTTCTTAGAGCGTATTTTACGGAACTCTTCGCAATCGCCCAATATAAGATTCATATGCTTATCAAATGCCTTGAAAGTTCCAATAAACGTCCTCGAATCCTGCAGTACAATTCGCACCCGATAGTTCAGGTGCTGAATCATTTTGTTATTCTTGCCTATGGTCTGAAAAATTAAAGCATAAATTATTTATTATTAAAACAAAGCATATTTTATAAAACAAAAAACAAGCATGGCCGGCAAGGCGGCATATTGAGGACCCAAACGTTTGCGAATTTCTTTTTTTGTATTTTTCTAAACAAAACATGCACATCAAACTTACCATTTTTGGGCCGTTATACTATTTCTTGATAATAAAACAATTAATAAATTTTAGCAGCTTATAATTATTTCTTTAAGTGAAAATAAAATGGCTAAACAAACTACTGCATCTCTGGCGACAATCAGCTTATCGACGCATTGATGTATATCGTTGTGTTGCGATTAGGGAATATAGGCGTTTTTATCGAATGTGCCGGTTTGCATTACTAATTCGATAATTGAATGCAGCCCTGTTTTTATATTCTGTTGAGAACAAATAAATTGTGCTCGAACGTCTCGGATGCTCATATATGTATGTGGCCACGTCACTTTGGCTCTCTTTGTTTCTCTCTTTTGTGCCGACATTCTACGTACATATAGGCGGCACAACACCAAAAAGTTTTAACTCGTTGGCAAAACAAGTGAAAATTAAACAAATTGTGTGGTTTGGTAAAGTACGGTATTGTAATTGCTAAAACATTATAGCATAATTGCAATTACTTTTATCCCATTCAGGGTGACGTCGCGAAAACCGTGCAACTACAAGAAAGAACACTCCGCCAATAAAAACGAAAGAAAAAAAAAAGAACTGACGAATCACTCAGAATGAATATTTTTCGGTTTGCTGGAGATTTATCGCATGTATTTGCTATAATAATACTATTGCTTAAAATATGGAAGACACGATCATGCGCCGGCATCTCTGGCAAATCTCAAATATTATTCGCTGTCGTCTATCTGACACGCTACCTGGACCTATTCACCACATACGTCAGCCTCTACAATTCGGTAATGAAGGTGCTCTTCCTGGCCACATCGGGCGCAACGGTCTATCTGATGTACGTGAAATTTAAGGCCACCTACGACCACAATCACGATTCGTTCCGCATTGAATTTTTGCTAATACCATGTGCTCTGCTATCTTTGGTAATTAATCACGAGTTTACATTGATGGAGGTGCTCTGGACATTCTCAATCTATTTGGAATCGGTTGCCATATTGCCGCAACTGTTCCTGGTTAGCAAGACCGGAGAGGCCGAATCGATTACAAGCCATTATTTGTTTGCCCTGGGCTCCTACCGTGCCCTGTATCTGCTCAATTGGGTCTATCGCTACATGGTGGAGTCCCATTATGATCTTATTGCGATCTTCGCGGGCATCGTCCAAACCATACTTTACTGCGATTTCTTTTATCTATATATTACCAAAGTGCTCAAAGGCAAAAAGCTACAGCTGCCAGCATAAGCAACAGCAGCCGCAGCAGCTAATAATTCCATTCGTGCGTGTGTGTGTGTGTGGTGCCGTCACAGCAGAGCCAGAGGAGGATGAGGCAAAGGATTTGGAGAGAGGAACAGCAATATTGAAGATGCGGACCGTGTTATTACATAGTAGATCTTTGTCGTATAACAGAAACAAAATATGATATTGTGTATCGAAAGGGAACATATTTTTTTGTGTTACATTTAGTTTAAAAGAAAAGAATAAGAAATTCAAATGTGGCACCAATTAATTTATGCATATACCAACTCAATGCAAATTATTAAAGTATACAAATAATGTACAAATTCTATTCATTATGATTTCCATCAGCATACAAAACAATTCAGCTATCGTAATTTGCTTATCAATGTATGAACGAGCATCTTTACATAAGCATGTATGCAACGCACTTGTGTGTATCTTATCTGACCTCGTCTGTTCCCACAACCAAAATCAAAATATTTACTAATTATAATTTAATTTACAAATAATAAATCAACCAGTTCTATCAACGTTTCTGGTCAACTTCGATACTATGAAAAAAAAATGTCTGATTAGAAAACTTTGTTAAAAATATGCCATTTAGTTGTTGGACCTAGCTTGCTTAAATGATCATCCACCAAATTAGCAGGTTATATATCAAAAACCGCTTGCTGCAAATTCAAAATTAATTTATATTGAAATTTTTATTCATTTTTGTTAAAACTACCCGCCTAGCGTAAAAATAGTAGTTTTAAAGGTCTTAATGCTGTCCCTCATCCGAATATTAAATAGTGATGTAAACCAAATCTTGGAAAAATTTTAATATTTAAAATATAAAATTCTGAAACATTGAAACTTTTTTATTATAATATTTTCAAGAGCAAGACCACTTGTGAATTCTAATTCAATCAAGATGTAGAAGAACCATTGTTCATTCGAGCGAGACAAATGTGTGCGATGAATTTGTTCATTGAACTTGAATCGTGTTCATCTCTAAATTGAACTAGTCCAATTGGAGCGATAACAAGATTGCATTAATAATATTTTGAAAGGAGAAAAAGATTGAAAAGCACAAAATGTCCTTAAATTTTCGTTATCATATATTAAAGAGCGTGAAACCATATACCATATACATTCCACAATTAAATAAATCAGCGCTTCGAGTCTTAATACAAGTCTCTGTGCATTACATTGAGACAAAAAAATCGTCAGCCGACGTCTTAGCACTCGCAATTAACAAACTGAAAAATGCAGGCCACGAAGTACCTAAGAATTTTTGTGAATTATTCACAATGGTGCTGCTGATCATGCAAATATATTTGCGATATCCAAAAGGTGTGGTTAAAGACCAGGAGCTGCGTCAGTGCTTAACTGAGGATTTGTGGTAAGCTTAAATAAACTATATAATATATAATTTAATAAAGTTACATCTATGTATGGCCCATTAGCTTCACAGATGCGTGCGCAGAGGATTTAACCAAGGTGCTGCTCAACCACCGCGCCACGCTTAGCAGAAATTTTGCGGAAACCAAAATGGAAAGAGCAAAAATGCTGGACATGCAATGGCGCATCAACATTTCCCTGGGCTCAACGTAAGTAAACGCGGATTTGTCCTGTCTTTATATTACATACGGATATCTTTAGGATGGCCCAACTGGATAAACCCACTATTGTGCTGCATTTCAAATTGAATAATGGCGAGTATCGCACCTTGGAGCTGCCATTATCAATGTTTCAACGTTTGCGATACAATGTGGCTGTGATGCTGAGCGAGCTGCAGTCATTGCAGAATCGCCCTGTTTTGAAACAGTTTTAGTTACTTAATTGCACTTAATTATAGATAATATTAGCTAGACTTTATTGCTATTTATAAATGTATTAACTTTTATTCTTAATACTATGCTAATGCTGATTATTCACTTTTTTTACGCTTTTTGATCATTTTTCCTTTAAGAAGCGGTTCACATTGTGTAGAGCCTGTATTTCGATTCTTTGCTGAAGATTTCTGATGTTCCTTAAATTGTTTATCCATTTCCTTGACATACTCTTGGGGCAGAGTCCATTCCGAAACGTTGGAATGCTTTGTAGGATCATACTCTTCCGTGTACTCTGGAATTTCAATGCCCAGACGCTTGCACACTTTCGTTAGTATATCATCAATATAACTCGAAATACTTAAATGCGCTTTCTTATCCTGTAAAGATAAGGCGCTTATTAAATAATTTATGGTTATCTTATAAGTGTTCTTACATGCTTTGTGGGCTGCAAGTTGCATATGACAAGTTTACCACCATGCTTGAGATTTTTGAGAGGTAAATTTCCGCTTGGGACAATTTGCAGAGTGGTACCAAGGGTTATATTAATATCAGCCATCCTACATTTTTAAAGATATATTTATTTAAGATGCGATAATCTTGAATAGTATTGGATATTTCTTACGTTGAATTCATAAATGCCATATCTAGGTCACGTTCGGGTAGGTCGTGTTCCCAATCTAAGACATTATCGTGCATAACTCCACCGCGACAGCTGCGACTATTGCCAATCTCAACGGACCGACATGGGAGTCCCAATAGCTTTTGGCCCACTGTCTCCACGGCCGTTTTGCGTACGAACTGCCGTCGACATTTCTGGCACTGCTCTATAAAGATATTGCCGTGAAGCTCGGCCAAGTATTTTCGATCTAGGCCAGACTTTAAATGCAGGCCGTCAATGTTTTGTGAGACGATATACTGAACATATCCATGTTCAACTAAAGACTTTAAGGCCATATGAGATTTGGTTGGCCTTGCTGCGTCAAAAGATGTGTTAAAAGTAGGCTTTTCGCCTTTTTGTTCAAGCGTCCAAACGCCCTTGGGCCCTCTGAAAGTATAATTGTCAAAAAAAACATAGAAACATAAAAACACAGTTTAATCAATTACCTAAAATCGGGAATACCAGCTGATGTGCTAAGGCCTGCACCCGTATGGAATACAACATGTTTAGAGTCTTTAATTAAGTTTGCAAGCTCCTTACATTTTTGGTTGACAATTTCTTCACTGTCGAAATTCTAAAAATCCAAAATTTTCTGGTTATTTATTTATGTATTGGATATAGAAATTTTACTGCTTACTTCTGGAACGCCTAGAATTCCTTTATTTTCGTATGCTGAAAGGCCATCTGCATAGTTGCAACTCATGACGTATATATTTAATATTTAATTAAATTGGCTTTTACTCGCGTTAAAAGGAGTTCTACGTTATACATGTCTGTTTGTTTACAAAAAATATTTGTTAGTACTATCGATTCCAATATCGATATTTCGCACTATCGATAAGTGTGCAACCTTGCAGTTGCCGTGCGTGCCCAGCTGTTCGAATTAAATTTTGGTTTATTTGTTGTTAAAAACAAAATGCGATTTCAACTATCAAGGAATGCATGGCATGTTTGTGGTCAATATATGCAGCGGAATTTTTTCCAACTTAGCAAGCGGTATGATCTATTTTAGATACAAAGGTTGTAATAGTATATTTTCTACTTATACTTACAGCTACAAAATTTAACATATTAAATAATTTAAACATTGCATACAATGCTATTGATTAAATGCTAGAAGCTGTTTTGTGAAAAAGAGTACCCAGCCTGCTACATAATATTGTGCCTACAAGCAAAACGATATGTTAAAAAAAAACCGCATATGAAAAGTACTCGAGGAATTTACGAGGATATATAACATGACCCAAATCTTAGTCTTGTCTTATATAATTAATCTGTTCAGCAATGTAAAATTATTAACTGAAGTGAAATTTAGTAATTCAAATGAATCTCTGTATTGCAGAGACAAGGGCAAATGGGAATTAATAAGCGCCGCCGGCAAAGTTTCTAATGAACGCAACGTTCCCGAGCACATACAAAAGCCGCCGTACTATTATAAAGAAATGCCGGCCGGCAATACATTAGGAACTCCTGAAATCAAAAATGAGGAACAGTTAAATCATATGCGTTCCTGCGGCAAGCTGGCAGCACAGATACTTCGGGAATGCGGCAAAATGGCAAAAGTTGGAATAACTACGGATCATATTGATGACTTTGCGCACCAGCGTATAATTTCAGAAAACGCCTACCCATCCCCACTTCGATATGTTGGATTCCCGAAATCATTGTGCACGTCTATTAACAATGTTGCCTGCCATGGTATACCGGACGACCGACCCTTAGCCGACGGTGATATAATAAACATTGATGTGACCGTCTACCAAAATGGTTGTCATGGCGATTGCTCGGAGACTTTTCTTGTCGGTCACGTCGATGAGCGTGGACGTTTTCTAGTGGATTCAACACGCGAGTGCCTAGAGAAGTGTATAGCTCTCTGTGGTCCGGGTGTGCCCTTTAATGAAATCGGCAAATACATACAGAAATATTGCCAAGAGCGTGACCTGGAATCCGTGGAAGCATTTATTGGCCATGGTATTGGTAGCTACTTTCACGGACCACCCGAAATTTATCATTACGGTAAGAAATCTTCAAAAGATTGCTACGTTTAAGTATTCACAAATTCTTCAATTTGCCAAATCGAAATGTAGCCAATGAGGCCCCGGGCCGAATGCAAGCGGGCATGACATTTACCATCGAGCCAATTTTGTCTCTTGGTAGCGGCGATATTGGCCTATTAGAAGACGGCTGGACGGCAGTTAGTTTAGACAATTCACGTAGCGCACAGTTTGAGCATACGATATTGATCACAGCAACTGGCGTTGAGGTGCTAACAAATGCTGTCTAAAGGATCAACGTTTACATAAATAGTGCATTTTTATTTGAAGGTGTGTACTAAAGGCATAATTGACATAGAATTCTTAATAAACACGTATGCCGGCAGCTTGCATGAAAATTTTTGTATTAAAGTGATTGTTAAAAGTTGAATATTCGCTGACTCTTGGTTGGCTATAAGTACTATAGTTGAATATGTTTGCCTGTATTTCATTAGATCGACGGCTAAATGGTTAACTGCAAATGGCATTTGACTTTTGAACTGGCTTTTGTATAGGCAAAAATAATTTAAATTCCGGAGGCAGTTCGTCCTCTGAATAAAGTCGATCCGAGAAATATACACGACGTATTCGACAGTTTGCGTGAATCTGCACCCGCAGTGTTTCAACATAGTTGGTGCCATAGGCGCGACGTGTAAAGTCTGACAAATTGAATTGTATCTGATTCCAACCCTCATCCAAGCGCATAGGCATTGTGCATATAAACGGCTTCACCCGAGTGGTAGATTGGTAATTGCTAGCGCGAAACCGGCGTCGCACATTTTTATCATCAAGAACCTGTTTACATATACAATAGAGATTAGTTTGCATTTCTGCATGTCTGCCTTTAAGCATATACCGCATACCTGTACTTCGAATGTAAAGTACTTTTTCATGTTCTTGATGATCATTACCAGAAATGGTAACTTGATGCCCAGCGTCTTCTTTGGATCAGCCGGACATGTTATAAACGTGGTGCTCACATTGGTTCCAACTATTTCGAGAACCAGACTCTGTATGTCATTGTCAGTAATGCGTTTAATATGGCCGTTTCGTACTTTTTTGTCCCAAAGCTGCAATGGCTTGGAACCAATGCTATAAAGTATTGACAAAAATCCCGATTGAAACGTGTTTTTGAACATTTCGCGCAATTAGTTGACTGTCGTAAGTGGTTACTCGATCTTTTGCAATTTTTTATTTGGCCAGTGGGCGCTGGCCGATAAATTTTGCGAAGCCGGAATTTGTGGGGATTACGAACACAAGCACAAAAGTATACTAATTTTCTTATGTCAATAAATTTGTAAACAAGAGTGTGTTGTTATTAGCAACAGAGATGTTGATAACTGACTATCAGATGTCTAACTATCGACCAACCACCACAGTTATCGGCCGGCTTTTCTGCAATTAACACTCATTTAATTAAAAACAGAGCACCTATATGCTCAATACCGTAAACTCCACAGTCTTCTCTTATTCCTTTCTTATATCTTTATTTCACAACTTTTCTTAAAGTCCATTCAGTTCTACAGCTCAAACATTAGTGCCGTCTCCACTCCTTCTTATCGGTGCTGTCTTATTTCCAACATCGATACATTCACGTTTTCTATCGATATATACATCGCTTAAATCTAATACCCAAGTATTTATTACAATCTTTATACCAAAATCATATGGAACCTCCCGTGCAATTTTGTTTACAATAAAGTAGTTTTTATTTTATATTAATATTTTAAAAACCACAACCTATCTTTTATAAAATTACTTTTATTAATTCTTCATATTCCATAAAAGTCAAGAACACAACTGACTTAAATAATTCAAAACACATCTGTTTCTATATGCATTTACAATTATTATTACTTATAAATACAAATCGAAATCTATTCTATTGCTTGAATAAAAATTTGAATGTTCACCAACTTTGCGCACATACACTCCATTCTTAAAATAGTCCCCTTGAGACCAATTAAACATTTTCTCTGTACTATATGGGCCCTGAATGTCGTCATCAGTCTGCTTCCATTTAAACTCCCATTTTATTTCGTTTGTATTTGGCTCCATTGTTTTCTGTGAATCCTTTAAAAGCTTGGACTCTTTTTCCTCGAAATCATCCGCATACATATCGAAAGATTCCCCGGCTGACTTGCTTGTGCTTGGCAGATCTTCGAGCTTCTGCTTTATCTTTTCGTAAGTTTCTTGATAAACATCCATATTTCCAGTATTTGAAAGAATTTCATTCGCCAGTTCGGTTAGCTTTGATATTTGTTGCGATTCATTGCTCTCTATGCCGGCTTTCTTTTGCCTCAGCTTCTCAAGAGTTGACAACTTGGGACGCTTACGGCCCAATCTTTGCAAAGCCATCTGTACGCTCTCGCCCGGTTTCATGTACTCAAGCATTTTTCCAAATGCCATTGACAGATTAAATGGATTCACAGGTAAACTGTCATCTGCAGAGTTTTCTTCACCATTGTTTGGATCAAAGTAGTTCTTGTCTTTCTCCACCTATCGCATTAATTAGTAAATGATTAATATAAATACATTACCATAATGAAAACAGGCGCTTACCTTAACCCAGTCAATGTTATCCAACCAGTTATCCTTAATCTCGGCCTCTTTGTTCCAATGATAGTGACCATCCTTATCGAAATGACCTTCTTCAAGTTCTTCACGCATATTAAACGGAGTTATCTTCACATCGTCTTCCACTTTCCCTACGCCTTCCTCTCCACCTTCAATATCGCTATCATTAAGGTTGTCTCTAAAATATAAACAATATCTTGTGTTCTTTTGTTTATTTTGGAATATGCACGCTTAACTCACCGTTCGTAGTCGTCAGAGTCCTCTTCGTCTGAGTCCAGGGTGTGCTTCTTTTTAAACGTTTCACTATCAGGTAGGCCAAAATGTTGTTTCCTTTTCGATGCCATGGTTCAATCAAATATGTAGTTTTAGTCTGTTTATAACTATCAGTTGCGTTATTTAGCCACTTATAAACACATATTTATTATTTCTTCAGAGTTGCAGCGAAGCGTTGCGAACAAGTTCGATCGAACCAAGTTTTTAATTGTGGTTCATAAAGTTCATTCGAATATGCGATTGATATCGATATCCTGAATACTTTCATCTCTGAGATACTCATTGGTTATTTTATAAAAATAATATAAAAATGGTAAGTAATGCTATTTTTCTTAGCTAATAAGTAAGCGAACAGTTTTAAAACAACAATATTTCTAATTCCAGCTGCCGTTATCACTCTTAAAAACAGCACAAAGTCATCCCATGGTAAGTACGCCGGTGTTTATATTTAAGGGCACCTTTTGGATTTGTTTGTTGGTTGTTTCTTAATGAATTTCTTTTGACAGCTGGTTGAGTTAAAAAATGGAGAAACCTACAATGGACACTTAGTTAGTTGCGACTCCTGGATGAATATTAACTTACGCGATGTAATTTGTACTTCAAAGGTATGTACACTCCGCACCGGGAGCGGCGGCTTACCGGCAAAGAATCAATATCTTATTTGTAAAATAAACTTTCTGGAGCCTCGAACTGTATATTTAAAATGGAATATTTCTTTTTAGGATGGAGACCGGTTTTGGCGCATGCCAGAATGCTACATACGTGGAAGTACAATTAAGTATTTACGTATTCCAGATGAAGTGATTGACATGGTAAAGGAGGATGCACAAGCTAAATCGCGAAATCGCGCCGAAATGAACAAGAACCGTGGCGGCAATTCCTCACAGAACCAAAACCAACGTGCACCTCGAAGCGGGAACCGAAATAGTTTCGGTATTCGCAGTGGGCCCAGTGGTGGAGGGCTGGGGAATGGCGGTATGCGTGCCGGTAATTCGGGGCAGGGAAATCGTCCACCCATGCAGGGCAACAAGCTTAGAAAGTAATAAAATGTAATGTTAAAAATGATTAAAATTGCGATCCATTCGATTTTAATTTGCACATGGTATTCTTTGTTTTGGATGCCTTTGTTTGTTAAGAGCATTCGCCTTGATCAGCAAAATGTTCTATGCATAAACACCAATATTATATTCGCTTGAAAGGATATCTTAATTGTAAAAGTAAATATAATTATATTCTAATTTGGTCATTTAAATTGTCCTAAATATCGATATAATTAAATTGACTGTTTTCGATTGAAATATCGAACATTTATCATCATTTGATAACTCATCGATAAGCTATTGCTATATTAGCAGCATTTGGTTCTGCAGATAAATTATTTTTTTTTAAAACGTAATGGATTCTATGGAAAATATGGAAACGACTCAACGGGATGACGAAGCTGAGGAGAACGAGCGTATAATTCAATTACAAGATTTAATTGAAAAAAACATTAAGATTGGTAAGTGTACGTTAATTTGGCAATGCTCTTATTAATGGCGCACTTTTTTTTTTGCAGAGCAACAGATTGAATCCCGCTCATTTGGCGAGTCCATGTCCGCCATTTATGATATTTTAAGCAAGGCTAACGATATTGTCAAAGGCTATGAGGATCGCAAAACAAACTCTACAGAACTGGTACTGGACACTGAACTGCTAAGACGTAATCACGAAGTGGTTGGAAAGGCCATACAATATAATTCGAATTTCACAGACCGAATGTTTTGCACGGCAATTGTAAGTACATATTGGAGCCTTGCATTATTTCCAAATGCAGTGTGCCGGGCTCCATAGTGGACACGAAACAGTGTCCCGCTTACGCCTAATAAAGAACAACATTGTTTTTAAAGATAATGCCGAAGATTGGAATGCACTGTGCAGCCTCGCTTGCCGGCATGGAGTACCATACTTTACAAACGCCTCGATGCTACCTTTTATCAATGTAGAACCAAAAAAGCACACTGCAAAACAACGTGCACCGCGCAAAACCAACACAGATGTAAGTTTCTGCCAAACAATGCGATCTTTGCATACATATGTATATTAGTACAGATTTATTCGCTTTATAGGCAGTCGAAAAACGTCCCAAGCAAAGCGACAAGCTAGAACGGAAGGGCGAAGGTTCCACGGCGGTCAATCATATTATGAAACAGATTAAAAATATATACAGAGCGGGCAACAATGAACCTATTCCATATTTTAAACTAATCTGCAATCCTCATAACTTTATGGACAGTGTGCAGAATGCATTGATCATATCGTTTCTGGTCAAAGAAAATCTAATTTCACTGGAAAATGGAGCAGATGGCTTGCCTCAAGTAAAAATCAATAGCAACTCTAAAGAAAGCGCTACGAATGAGTCATGTCAGGCTATTTGTTGTTTAGATGTTGAGCTCTGCGAGGTACCAGCACTGATTAATTAAGTAAGGTTTGAATAAACTATTTATATGTATTTTCATTTATTGATTTTCAGAAATATGCTAAACACTACAATATCACGGAACCACTCTTAAAGCGCTCAGAAACCGATGAAAATTGAGCATCTAAAATCATCACAAGTATTTTTAGTATAAGTAAGAGCACGCACAAAATAGTTGAGCTCTAATGTTAAGATAGTACCACGCTCCGAGGAGAACGCGTGTTCTTTAGGAGAATAACATTCATTACTTATTGAACACGTCTCGCAAGAGCAAAACGGAGCGAAGAGAAATACAGCACAGTCCATTTTCGTAGCTGAGATGCACTGTTTATGTAGATTTTAATTTTTAGGACAAAATATTTTCAAATAATTCGGTATGTTCTTAGTTGTGCTGTGGGCTTTTTTAATGGCACACGCAGTTTACGAGGAACGCCAGATTCAAATGCTTATATATATATATACAATTTAAATAATAGAGAACAAAATGCAGTTGATAAGGTCAGTAAATGTATTTATTTATTGTCTTGCAAATGAGTTCGCCAGATAACCAGAGTTCAAATTATATTACATGTGGATTAGCTTATTTAAATTAACACACATACATATATGATTCAAATGGGCATAAATACAGTTCGGTGGAAAATTTATGTTCATATTTGAACTTATGGTTTTAGTAATCTTAGGTCAGTTAAAAAAATTTTGTCACAGCATCAATATTTTAATCTCTGTCAGCAATTAACCTCCACTTGAGCGAATTTCGTGATTAATAAGGCAATTAATATAACCCTACCTAGACGGGAATGAAAGATTGCTTGATCCGGAGTAATATTAAAAATTATATATTCTTAACAAATTATTTCAATAAATTTTTTGTTCACTATTTTAAATTATGGTACCTAATGGAGTTGCTTTTGTTTTAGCGTGGCTTTAAGTTTGGTCATGCTATTATGTTTGGAAAACCTGAAGTGCAATGCATCCGCAGAGAATACCCAACTGGATCTTGGTAACATAACAAATTTATTGGTCAAATCTGACCTGATTGAGGACATTGACGATGATTATATTGACTATGTGGATGAGAACGAAGTTAGCAAGCAAACACGCCAACGCAATCAGAGCACACTCGAAAGAGTGGGCACATTTTACGCATGGGATCGCTGGGAGAAGTGGAGCAAATGTTCAAGCACTTGTGTGCAAATCAAGCAACGCAAATGCATAGAGCGGTAAGTGCTTTAGAGAAAAATACATTTATTGGGCATATATCACAATAATTTCCTATATATCACACAGTATCAAAAACTCGACATTGGAGAGCACCGTGGAAAGGCGATTCTATCCTGGCAGTGGAAAAACTGGTTGCTTTGGAGTATTGAAGCGGTATCGTCAGTGTAAGGAGGAGCGCTGCAAGCCTGGCAAGCAACGACTGCGCGACGAACAATGCGAAAGATTTAACAGTGTGGCATATCGTGAGACGTTCTATAATTGGGTCGGATATGAAAAAGAACATGACGAGTGCATGTTATTCTGCCGCGCGTTTAACTCTGATTTAGTCATTAGTATGAATCAATCTGTCACCGATGGTACACCCTGCAATCGTCCGGCCGTCTACTATACCCACTTCTACAGACGCCAGGCCGTGTGTGTGGAGGGAATTTGTCGGGTAAGTTAGTCTTAAAGGATGTTAGTAGCATTAAGAGTATTTAGTTCCTCAGAATCTTTTTCTTTTTCAATTACGACCTGTAAATCTATAAAAAGTTGCTCTTAAATCAGTGATAGATAGTAGGGTATTTAATCTTCGATGAAACGCTTTCTTGTTATTTTCGTTTATATAACATCTGCAAATAATAATTTTGCCTCTTCCGGTCTGCGTTTGGATTTTAATTGCGTACATTTATACCAGTTGCAAATTGAATTCTTTTCGCTGTCGAATAGACATCTCAATAAAATTTCATTTCAACTCGTTATGCGGAAAGTTTATGTGCTTGAGAGTGATGTCATCTGGTGAATATTAAACTGAGGAAAATGTTATTCACATGGCTCCCTAGAAAACGAAACTAGAAACTTCAACTCTAATCAGAGAGGAATTAATAGACTTTGCTATATACCAAGAAGACCTAATACCTTGTGGAGCATTTAAATATTTGTGCAGTTACCTATTTGGCTTTTAATGATGGCATTCAGCAAGGGCAACCACAATTCAATGTTGAATGCATTTCAATTCTGTTTATGGCCAGGTTAAATTGTCTAAAGCCAATTTTCTCCAAAAGCATGCAAATTGCCCAAGTGCTTAGCGCATACTGGCATACATATGTGTGTGCATATGTCGCTATGAAGGTACTCCCCATTGTAATAGAGTCCGTAAAACCGCCTTCTGCATGGCCACACACAGTCCAATGTGGTTCTTGAATGGCTGCCAAATGCAATAAATCTTAATTAATATCGTTTGCCAATGATTTCCATATTCAGTTGGCTTTCGGGTCTTTCCAATTTATAATTTAATTAGTTTTTGTATACGCATTGAGCAGCAGTGTGGCTTGTGGCTTGGTAAAAGAAAATGTATAGATAATGGTGCGATGCGCTTATGGTGGGATGGGCCTTCTGTTGACATGACCCCATTATCGCCTGATAATTACAAATACTTACATACACATGTAATTAGCCCAGATACAAAGCGTTTGCATTGTTTTAATGGTTCACGCTTACGACTCTCCATGATGCTCCCTGCCCACTCTCGAAATGTAACTGAAAACTGTGTCAAAACATTCAAGTGGCCCTTAGGTGCATTAGATTAGAGTAATTCCGGCAATGAGTGTGAAATATTGAGCCACTCACTGCTGCCGGAGATACGCTACTCACAAGATCAAAGCACTCGCCGATATTTGCAACATTTCTCAGCAATATATCCAAATTTTTAAGCTCCCCTCCCCCCAAACATAAGAGAGTATTCATGTTTTTATTTCTATCTTTCTTTCAGGCTGTGCATAGCAGCGGCTTGATACGTCCTGTCACAACTCGTGATAGTCAAGTGAAGTGTGGTTCGGTATTGTGCAAACATGTTAGTGAAGTATTTAACAAGACAAATCGTACAAAGGCCTACAACTACATCACCACACTGCCAGTTGGGGCTATGAATCTATCGATTGGGCTAAATGTGCATGGCAATGATTCATTGGGTAAGTTCGAATATATCAACTAAAAGTGCTTTGATAAATTTCAACTGTGATTTGCAGCTTTGAAAAGCCCCGATGAAGTCCTTCTTATAAATAGAGATCGTTCGAAGATATTCGATTTCAATGATAATGCTTACGAATATAACCATCCAAATGGTTTGCTTACATCAAGGGGACCGTTTCCCAAGGCTGTGATCTTGATGGTAAGGCTTCATTTATAAGACTTTGGAAACTCTTAACTAAATATCAAATTTTATTTACGCAGCATTTCTTAGCCGACAACCAGAGCGCAATAGTTGATATCCAATATAACTATACTATACCCATTTCCTCTCCGCCCGTAAACGAAGAGGAGGAACTGCAAGCTATCTGGGATGAGTCGGGTAAGCTCATTAATGATGCAGACAATAGCTATGCACAGCGAATTAAGGAGCGCAAACGCCGGCGATTTAGTTGGAAATTATTGGGTTTCGGTGAATGTAATCGGTCTTGTGGTCCCGGCACCCAAACGCCCATTTTCCGCTGTGTATGTGTGCGTGAATCCTTGATAAGATATTACTCGCCCCGACGGTGTGCCTTCATAGAGAAACCAACGTTTAATGATGACATCTACAATTGCAATCGTGGCCTGTGTCCGGCCTTTTGGCGGCCGAGCAACTTCAGCAATTGCCAATGTCCGGACGGGAGTTCCATTGGCCAGCGTAGACGACACTTTGAATGCATGCAGGAGCAAATCAAGGGAAATGTCATGCTAGTAGCAGACGCGCTATGTCCTGCGAGAAACGATACAGCTGAGGCCTGTCGTTGTCAGACTAAAAATTAAAAGAGCCAAGGGCTGCAAACAATGCGATGCGATACGAATTCACTTTCAATCTCTGTAATAAAACTGGAATTATTTCACAAGCACAGGCCACATTTTGTGGGCAGACTATGCGAGAATTGCCTTTAATATATTACACAGAAGTCAAAGAAGCGGGTCAATAAAGACGATTATCCATTTAAAATCTATGACTTCGTGCCGCAATTAATGACCCACAATGCAGAAGCTCGACTCGTAGCTGTGTGGTGGAAAGGCTTCATTTTTAATTTTCAATTGGCCGCAATAAAGAATATATCAAATCAATTAAGGAAAACAATAAATTAATGCTGAAATCTAATGAAAATATTCAATTTGTGTAGCAGCTTACTTAGACGAATTCAGCTAAATATCAAGTTACTTTGAAGATTTTCATTGTTTTGAACAAAAGTAAGCAGTTAAGAAAAATTTATGGATCGCCAGAAATTAATGATTTTGTGAATAATGGAATGCAGCTCACAATTCAATTGCTCGAACAATTTTAATTGAACCTAATGGTAATTTCTATGCGCAGCTTTTAATTTAATTACCCACAACGACAAAATATAAAAAAAATAGTAATATTCATTTCGTGAACGACTCGCTTGCATAAATTATTTAAAATTTATGCTTGTTCCTAATTTAAATTTTGAATTGTTCATTCAACACTCATCAAAAGGCCTAAACTATTCATATATGGTGCTAGGAATCAGCACAAGTAAAATTCTTGAACTATTTCGGAATTTATTTACCCATTTCAATTTCCAATGTGGGTATGTATGTGATATATATTCCTTAATATTTTTTAAATGTTCTTATAAATAATATTTATATATATAGTGAGGGGTATTACGTTTTGTAACGAAAAAGAATACATCCCGAGTTCTTTATGAAGACATCTTCGTCTGTCTCTTTTCTTAAATGAAAATTAGTCTGTCAGATTTAGGGCTATGTTTATATAATTAAGATAAGATCTGATAGAATTAATTTATCACAAAACTGGAAGAATCTGTTCCCATTTCGAGTTCATGGTTTATCAAACTATCACTATATCATATAGGTACTATAGGTTGGCATAGGATCACCATATCATGTAGATCCTATGGGAACAATGGGGCGGAATTGAAATGTTTGGTAGGGTGTTTAAGCTTCGGCAGCCGAAGATAGCTGTTTATTTCTTGTTTTCTATACATTTAAGCAATCTATAAGCGAACCATAAAATATTGTATCCTGAACTTTAACCCCAACATTCTTGCGAAATACAGATGCGCCCGAATTTCGCTCAATTAATGCATATGACATAACTTTAAGCTTAAATGCTGTACAAGTTGACGATTTGTTTTCAGGAAACGTGCATATTGTATTCATTCTGTCTAAGACAAGGTCTTTTTGGCTTAACTAGATGCTCTAACTGTTGCCTTAGGCTAATTTACCGTTGTGACAGACCCTACAACACGATTAGCATAACAAATATTTGATCTTGCGTGTAATTCCACTGTAAACATTGTTGAATGTGAATGTGAATATGAATGTGAATGCACCTGTTTGTGGCTTAGCTAGGCACAATTCTGTTTAGCCAACATTTCCGCTTGTGATAAAACAATGTGTATTTGATTAACATGCGTGCATGAATGTATGTAACATATGTACATATATGTATATGTATGTCGTATTGGGAGTATGTTTAAGTGGTAGCTAGAGCCAAGTTGCTCTGATTTAAAGTGCGTAACAACAGCCTCTAGATGCCTTTTATTCAAACAAACACTCGCAATAACACTCGCACTCGCACTCACACTCACACGCACACTCGCACATTCATTCATACTCACTCGCGCCCTCGCACTGTGAGTGTGTGAGGCACGCATCATCCAGACTTTTTTGGGCGCGCGCCGCCGCCGCCGCCGCCAACCACAAACCGCCCGCCCACCACCCACCTACCCCCCCTTCTGGCCATAGTTCTGTGTCGCAGGCAGTAGCTGGCGTCTGCGTCCGCGTCTGCGTCGGCGGCGACTGAGGCTGAGGCTGAGGCTGTCTTCATCGCGCTTCAATTCCCAAAACGATTTTCCAGCGATTTTAGTTTGGATTTGCGTACCACGCGACGATGACGGCGGCTTTAATTGAAACGAAAATATATCGGGAAAACATACGAATTTGTTAGTTTTGGTTCAATTTTTTGGAGGCGGTTTTCACAAAAACACACACACCGAACCTTATCTCGCCCGAATCGTAACCCCGTGAAAACCTTGCAATAATATATATACTATATTATGCATAATACTTGTGCGTTCCATTCAAATGTTTATTGGCAAATGAGAAAAGCATTAGTGAGTTATGCGATTTATAAAAGTGACACTGCAACCGAATATTAGTTTCATTTAAACGAAAACCCCTAACTACTTTTAAGGGTAAGCAAAGGGCTTAAATGGTTATAGAATTAAACAGGGATAAACCTTAATTCAGCTACAAGCCCTAGGAGCCGGGATTTATCCTAAGCTAGTTAAGAGTACGAACGAAAATCAAATAGATTTTATAGTTAATATTTTTGAGAGTTTAATAAGTGTATATGGCTTTCGATACATATGAGAGCTCACTTTTTATACTCCTAAAGGGACTGTCTTTTTTAGGAAATTCTCAAAACAAATGTCAGACTCGGCTCGATCGGAGCTCTATATCATAGGAATCATCTGTTAGGGAGAAAGTTGTTGTACTTATAATATACCTTATTGTTCCAAATAACTTGGCTCAGATATCTTGGCAGCTACAGCCCTAATCATTAATGTCTTTCCTGCTAACAACCACATTTTCTTCAATCAACCTCTCATAATGTCCAGTTTACAGCGTGTGAAACAATGCCGCGCGTGCCCTTTGAGGCCATCAAAAAAGTGCATGATAGGTTTGTGGGTTGGGGCAAGGGCCAAATTGAATTGAAAGTGAAAAAAAAAATAAAAAATTGATTCAAATACATTCGTTGGCTATAAGCATTTCAACGCAACGTCACAATTACAAAATGCACTTATGGCCCAATGACATCCCGGGCTTCCCGCTCAAGTGCATCAATCAATCTTACAAGTTTATTGTCTTCGTGGAGACAATAGCATCCAGATATAATAAAAATCCCAAATGAAGCCATTAAGTACTGTAGGTAGCCCTTCTTGTTGTTGGGATTTTTTTTACGAATATTGAGTGTCTTTTTGTATAAGAAAAAATCTGGCTGAGATTAAAAGCGCACAAGGAAAAAAAATCAGATATATTCGAGAATTGCATTCGAATGCTTACAGAGTATTTACATCAATAAATTATAAAGTTTCATAATAATTGTAAATTTACATTCATATTTTTTTGTGAGCAATCATTTTGTTGATCAACATTCGCCGGCTGTTTTTGTTTATTTCATATTTGAATGTTTGCGCCGATTTTGTAAAAGTATTCAATTTCTGGCCGCATAGTGTCTTTTGTCAGTACGCACATGATTAAATTTACATATCTAAAAAAATGCACAGACATATTCATAAATAAGCCAAAACACTTCTCCTACGACCAAAATTTCAATTTTGTACATTTATGGTAGCATGCGAATATTGTGGACACTTGACTCGATTTCCGTATGAAATACACTTCATATCCGATCCATATACATTTGTCGCTTCCATTGAAGTATGTGGAAATGCATGCACATGGCATAAATATGCAATTTGTTTGCCACTTTTCACTGGCTTTCCATTTCGTAAGAGCCTGTTCACAGCTTCAAGTGCCACTGCACAATTTGTAAACACAAAGCTATGAATATATATGTTGAAGCAATATTTTCAAACAAATATCTGTCCGGAATGGGTATGACTCGAAACAGGCAGGGAATGGAAATGACTCGATTGACACATATTCGAGAAGTGCGCGGGCTCATTAATGTTACTTAATGCGGATGCACTCTCTGCATCTTATTTAGCAGCCAACTGGCTTGTTTATATACCCTTCCAATTCATAAGTTTGTTGCAAATGTATTTTATTTACTGATTCAACTTTTTTTCAATACATATTTCAAAAGCTATAAAAGCTATATTACTTGTAGTGTAAATTATACTTAAAACATATTATTTATTTAATCTTTATGAACTTTTCTTTTCTGCAATTAGTGAGTTTTTTTTTTCAATATAACTGACACATGCTTGATACATTTTAATTAGCGCTCAAAATCGGTGACCTAATTCTTTAAAGATTGTCGCAAACTGAGTATTTTAAATATCCATCCATACTCTGAATGAATACTTTGAATACTCTAACATTGAAACTAAAATGTCCATCCATACTCTGACTGAATACTTTGAATACTCTAATATTAAAACAAAAATATCCATCAATACTCTAACTGAATACGTTGAATACTCTAACATTGAAACTAAAATATCCATCAATACTCTGAATGAATACTCTGAATACTCTAACATTGAAACTAAAATATCCATCAATACTCTGACTGAATACTTTGAATACTATAACATTTGAATATCCGTCGGTACTCCAACTGAATACTTTGAATACTCTAATATTGAAACTAAAATATCCATCTATACTCTAACTGAATACTCTGCATACTCTAACATTGAAACGAATATGGGGTCGTTTGTCATTTATTTGCCACCAAATTGGGCCATTTTCGAGTGATCCATAGACCGCAAAGGTTATTGGTTATGCTCTACATAGACATATATCAATTAATCTGTGCATGCGAAATGTTCTTATTCTTTTCAAAATGCAATACCCTTTTTGGCCAAAGTGGGTTAGTGTTAGGCAGCGCCCAAATATTGAAACATTCACTCTGAAAACTATTCACCATGAAGGTCAATAGTATGCGACAATTTCAATTCATTTGAATCCATTCAAACTGTTCAGAATATATTCAGAAATGTCTGTCAGATAGCAGCTGGTTTAAGTTCTGTGGGAGCTTGCCAAGAGAACACACCCTTCTCTCGCTACACACACACACACACTGTGCTTTTATTGTATTGCTCAAAAATGTCCAAATTATAAAAAACGATGCCAGCAACTACTTTGGCTCACATTTGCTATCGCATTTGTTCTTTTTTGTAGCATGGTCACGGGCGATTTGCTGGATTGTCACAAAGCGTA